AGTTTGTAGTCAGTGGAGGTAGTATACCTACTACAGTAGAGCATAATGTTGTGTGTATAGTCAGTTTAGGAGAGAGTTCCTACTACAATCACTAGAGAATAATGTTGTGTGTATAGTCAGTTTAGGAGAAAGAGTTCCTACTACAATCACTAGAGAATAATGTTGTGTGTATAGTCAGTTTAGGAGAAAGAGTTCCTACTACAATCACTAGAGAATAATGTTGTGTGTATAGTCAGTTTAGGAGAAAGAGTTCCTACTACAATCACTAGAGAATAATGTAGTGTGTATAGTCAGTTTAGGAGAAAGAGTTCCTACTACAATCACTAGAGAATAATGTAGTGTGTATAGTCAGTTTAGGAGAAAGAGTTCCTACTACAATCACTAGAGAATAATGTTGTGTGTATAGTCAGTTTAGGAGAAAGAGTTCCTACTACAATCACTAGAGAATAATGTTGTGTGTATAGTCAGTTTAGGAGAAAGAGTTCCTACTACAATCACTAGAGAATAGTGTAGTGTGTATAGTCAGTTTAGGAGAGAGTTCCTACTACAATCACTAGAGAATAGTGTAGTGTGTATAGTCAGTTTAGGAGAAAGAGTTCCTACTACAATCACTAGAGAATAATGTAGTGTGTATAGTCAGTTTAGGAGAGAGTTCCTACTACAATCACTAGAGAATAATGTTGTGTGTATAGTCAGTTTAGGAGAGAGAGTTCCTACTACAATCACTAGAGAATAATGTTGTGTGTATAGTCAGTTTAGGAGAAAAAGTTCCTACTACAATCACTAGAGAATAGTGTAGTGTGTATAGTCAGTTTAGGAGAAAGAGTTCCTACTACAATCATAGTGTAGTGTGAATAATGTTGACAGCAACAATGAAGACATTAACAAGTAATATACAAGGTAATAACCTACTGCCAAAAAACAACTATCAATACACAAACAAATATTCTAAAGATGTGGATCTATGGATATAATAACACAAGCGATGAGAGGAGGGAATCAGCACTACAAACATTAGAAAGGGCTGAGGAAGTAGAGAAAAATGTGGCTTGAATAAAGCAGTGAGAGAAGAAGGGAAGTGGTGACGGAGATGGAGGAGTGTTACCTGTTGGCTTCGTGGCTCTATGTTCTGTGAGGTGTGTCAAAGGTATCTTCGTTACAACATCATACAACATTATTATGTCATCAGCCTTCAAGAGTACCAAGTTATTTATTGTATTTATTCACTTTTAGAGCAGTAATATAACAGAAAATGGTACAATCATAAGTCTTAGTCTACGTCAAATTTAAGAGATGCCGGTACTCGGGAGGAATGCTGGAAGCTCTCTATTAATATTGATAATGTTTAAAACACAAACCCAGTAATGTTTACATTTATTGCTGAGAGAGAATATTAAAGGTGCACAGTAGGCACTGATGCCAGTGTACTCAGCAATCCCATGCAGTTTAGCTCATTATTTTTAAACCAAAACCTCAAACTATTGATCAGTTTCCAGCTATAGGTGCGTAAGTCAGCAAGCCGGAGCTCCAATACTATGCTAACACAACGGTATTAAAGTTGGTATTTATAATATATTACGGTGTCATTCAGGGTGTTTTAGTTCCATTATATTTATCTCATGGCTGTCATACGTAAGTTACAGTCGACGCTCACGACACGTGGGTTTGTGTACACGTGCTCACGACACGTGGGTTTGTGTACACACGCTCACGACACGTGGGTTTGTGTACACGTGCTCACGACACGTGGGTTTGTGTACACACGCTCACGACACGTGGGTTTGTGTACACGCGCTCACGACACGTGGGTTTGTGTACACGTGCTCACGACACGTGGGTTTGTGTACACGCGCTCACGACACGTGGGTTTGTGTACACGCGCTCACGACACGTGGGTTTGTGTACACGTGCTCACGACACGTGGGTTTGTGTACACGTGCTCACGACACGTGGGTTTGTGTACACGTGCTCACGACATGTGGGTTTGTGTACAAACGCTCACGACACGTGGGTTTGTGTACACGCGCTCACGACACGTGGGTTTGTGTACACACACTCACGACACGTGGGTTTGTGTACACGCGCTCACGACACGTGGGTTTGTGTACACACACTCACGACACGTGGGTTTGTGTACACGCGCTCACGACACGTGGGTTTGTGTACACACACGACACGTGGGTTTGTGTACACGCGCTCACGACACGTGGGTTTGTGTACACACACTCACGACACGTGGGTTTGTGTACACGCGCTCACGACACGTGGGTTTGTGTACACACACGACACGTGGGTTTGTGTACACGTGCTCACGACACGTGGGTTTGTGTACATGCTCTCACGCCTGCATTGGCGTTTGTTTATACGCACGTGCTGGAGCTTTTAACACGTACTTGTTTAAATAGCTTCGTCAATCAGTATTGTTTACACATGAATTATGTAAGGAGGAAGCTTTTGTTCTGCAAGAAAAGATTTAAACAATATTGGAGACATGTTGCCCCTGTGAAGGACTCATGGTGACCGTACTGAGGTAGTCTCCAAAGTACCCAAAGTACCCTGAGTACCCTGAGTACCCAGAGTACTGCCTGTAGGCTGATCTCTCAGTGTGCACGACATCAACCTCTCCTCCAGGTCAACGTCGCTTCCCTCTACATGTTCGTATTTACTTCTTGTATTATTGTGTTTTGTCGTCTTACACTCCAATGCTTCCTGTTGGTCTTATTGTCTTTCCCCCCTTTCCTCCTTCCCTCATCCCAGTAATTCCTAATGTTCTCCAAAAATAAAGATCAAACTAGACACTACAGCATATATATTAAATGTATAATAGAAGCTTGCAAGACGTATTTCGTCGTGCTCAAATCCAACACACATTATAGAGCGACCCAGAATCTCTTACACACTATAGAGCGTCCCACAGTTCCTTACACATTATAGAGTGACCCTCAGTCTCCTACACATTATAGAGTGACCCTCAGTCTCCTACACATTATAGAGCGACCCTCAGTCTCCTACACATTATAGAGCGACCCTCAGTCTCCTACACATTATAGAGCGACCCTCAGTCTCCTACACATTATAGAGCGTCCTACAGAACCACAAACATTATAAAGCGTCTTACATTCCAACACATTGTGTCCCGACTCGCAGTCCCACACACACACAACAAGGACCGATCCACAGTCCCACACACACACACACAATAAGGACCTACCCACACATTAAGGACATACCCACAGTCTTACATACACACACACACACATTAAGGACCTACCCACAGTCCTACACACACATTAAAGACTGATCCACAGTCCTGCACACACATTAAGGACCGATCCACAGTCCTACACACACATTAAAGACTGATCCACAGTCCTACACACACATTAAAGACTGATCCACAGTCCTACACACACATTAAAGACTGATCCACAGTCCTGCACACATATTAAAGACCGATCCACTGTCCTACACACACATTAAAGACTGATCTACAGTCCTGCACACATATTAAGGACCGATCCACAGTCCTACACACACATTAAAGACTGATCCACAGTCCTGCACACATATTAAAGACCGATCCACTGTCCTACACACACATTAAAGACTGATCTACAGTCCTGCACACATATTAAAGACCGATCCACTGTCCTACACACACATTAAAGACCGATCCACAGTCCTACACACACATTAAAGACTGATCCACAGTCCTGCACACATATTAAAGACCGATCCACTGTCCTACACACACATTAAAGACTGATCCACAGTCCCACACACACACAATAAGGACCTACCCACAGTCCTACACACACATTAAGGACTGATCCACAGTCCCACACACACACATACATTAAGGACCTACCCACAATCCTCCATAACACAATAAGGACCGATCCACAGTTCCACACACACACACACACACACACATTAAGGACCTACCCACAATCCTCCATAACACAATAAGGACCGATCCACAGTTCCACACACACACACACACACACATTAAGGACCTACCCACAGTTCCACATACACAATAAGTACCGATCAACAGTCCCACACACACACACACATTAAGGACCTACCTATAGTCCTACATACACATTAAGAACAGATCCACATTCAAACACACACACATTAAGGACCGAGCCACAGTCCCACAAACATTGTGGTGCGACCCTGTGTTGAGACCCTCTGTGTGGAGTGACACACTAATGTCTAAAGAGAAGTGACACTCCATACTCTTCTCATGTACTTTGGTTGGAGAATAATTGTTTTTTGTGACAATAGATGAGTACGAGCTTCTTGCTCTAGTTCTGTCATAGTGTATTTGAGCCCCCGTGTCTGTCAATCTCTCTGCCTCCCTTACCACGTCTTTCCATCACATTCCTCTCAATCATCACTAACCTCCTAGTCAACAACTACTGATGGAGATCATGTGTACATTACACGAGCCTGCGGTCTACCTGGCGGCCATTGGTCATCGTACACGTCTACGTGGGAGTTGATGGTTCACCTCCACACTGATAAGCTCAGTCCGCTCCTCCGAGTTACCTCTGGTCTACCCGCCTACAGCAACAACACACATGGGCCCACTTGCAGTCACCCTGTATCTTAGGGACCAGCTTTAATTAATCTACTGATAAACATTTACAATTAAGGTTAATGTAAAAGTTTTAAAGCTCTACTGTAAAGCAATAAAGCAAACCTCTACCATTATGTTCCTCCATATAGTTGCACAATATGGGTGCTTCTTTGAGTGTTGTTTGTTCTTCACACTATTTGACTAACTCCTTGATCATCCCATTTGTCTACCCTATGACTACCAAAATTTTCATTCTCGGAGGTTCTGTTCTGATATACATGAACATTCCCACAAACTGTCTGCCTCCACAGTGAGACAGGCACACACACTCCCCAACCACCATGGTAAGACCACAAACTGTCTGCCTCCACAGTGAGACAGACAGACACACACACACACACTCCCTACCCACCATGGTAAGAAAAATGCCGAACTCGGGGTTCATGGGTATGACATCTCCGTCGGTAAACTGGAAGGTCTTGCGCCTCTCCTTCTTGCAAGTGTGGACAACGGCGATCTGCTGAGCCGCCACCGACAGCACCGGCAGCTCGATGCGGTTGAACTCGTCGAAGCAGCCCCACGACCCGGACTGTGCCAGACCTGGGGAAGTTGTCTACACTCAAGTGACGGATACAAGAAGCAATTCTTACTCTGCTGTCATCGCTCAAGGAGAGAACATGCACGATAACACACAATAATTCCACCCACTCATTCTCCAACAGTGATAGTATTTATAACTACTGTGGATGAACGGTTCAAAATTCAGACTTTTTATTTAGAACAAAGGTGGTTACAGGAGTGGTTCCGCTCCCCAGAAGTTGAATTCTGGGGAGCGGAACCACTCCTGTAACCACCTTTGTTTATCCTGCATGACAGCACTAGTGTCAGTGTGGCCTGCACTCATCCCTGTAAATTCTGCATGACAGTACTAGTGTAAGCAGTGTAGCCTGCACCCACCTTCATATATTCCCCATGACAGTACTAGTGTCAGCAGGGCGGCCTGCCCCCCACCTCATATATCCTGCATGACAGCACTAGTGCTAACAGTGTGGCCTACACTCACCCCTGTATATCCTGCATGTCAGTATTAGTGTCAGCAGTTTGGCCTGCACTCACCCTTGTATAAAATGCATGTCAGTATTAGTGTCAGCAGTTTGGCCTGCACTCACCCTTGTATAAAATGCATGTCAGTATTAGTGTCAGCAGTTTGGCCTGCACTCACCCTTGTATATCTGGCATGACAGTCCTTGTGTCAGTGTGGCCTGCACTAACCCTTTTATGTCCTGCATGACAGTAGTAGTGTCAGTGTGGCCCGCACTCAATCCTGAATATCCTGCAAGGCAGCACTATTCTCAGTAGTATGGCCTGCACTAACCCTTGTAAGTCCTGCATGACAGCACTATTTTCAGCATGACCTACACTCATCCTTGTAAATCCTGCATGACAGCACTATTTTCAGCAGTGTGGCCTGCACTAACCCTTGTAGGTTCTGCATGACAGTACTAGTGTCAGTATGACCTACACTCACCCTTATATATCCTGCCGAGGCCACGGTAGTCCATCTGGTCGGAGCAGTTGAAGACGACGACGTACTTGCCTAGTGTCTTGCCCATGTCCTTGGTGGTCTCTGTTTTGCCCGTCCCGGCGGGCCCCGTCGGACACCCGCCCATGCTCATGCTCAGAGCCTGCGCTAGCGTGATGTAGCACCTTCAACACACTCAAAATTAATAATCCACTTATTCATTCCTCAATAAATTATCATAAAAATACATTTTTCGTTAAGGAGGATCTTACATTCCAAAATTTTTTGAACAAAATTTACCTCAAATTATAAGTTCATAGGGGATTAATGCACTCTAATTTCCTGTTGAAGGGAACACAAAGTTCTTCATGTGAGGGCATCGGGTATGAGTACGAACCTGTCTGTGAGAGGGGTGATGACGAGTCGCTCGGTGCAACCAACGAACTCGTTCTGGTAGTGGAAAGTGACGTCGGTGAGCACGATGTTGGTGCGGTCCAAGTCCTCCCGGAAATATATTCGGATCTGTCGCAGCCAGTCGAAGTCGGAAGCGGATCTCACGTTGTTCCGGCACTGTTGACGCCATCAACAAATATTTTATGATTACGTCAGATGTGTTACGCTAAACCGAAGTTAACGTATTGTGTATGCACATTATTGCAAACATGCAATCATAAATACACATAACAAAAGTGACACATATATCAGGCGTTACAGTTAAACACATAGTGGTGGTGATGTGGCATGTGTTACACCTCAGACTCACCTGAGGTGTAACTAATTATTACCAACATACAGAGATCCATTACAAGAAGCAAGTGATAATATTTTTAGGTCACTTAACCACAGTGAAGAGCCAGTTGTGGGCAACTTCAGTAATCCAAATATTAAGAAGAGCAAGTATTAGTAATGACCCTGGTGGAGGATCGTTGTGAACACTGCGCCTGTTATTCTTCAGTGGTAAGGTGAACATTCTTGTGTATTAAGGTGAATATTCTTCTGTATTTAAGTGAACATTCGTCTGTATTAAGGCGAACATTCTGGTGTATTAGGGTGAACATTCATGTATGGTTAGGTGAACATTCATGTGTGGTTAGGTGAACATTCATGTGTATTAAGGTGAACATTCATGTGTGGTAAGGTGAATAATCATGCAAGGTAAAATGAACAATCATGTATGGTAAGTTGAACATTCATACATGATAAGGTGAATATTCTTCTGTAATAAGGTGAACATTCAACTGTATTAAGGTGATCCTTCATGTGTGGTAAGGTGAACATTCATGTGTGGTAAGGTGAACATTCATGTGTGGTAAGGTGAACATTCATGTGTGGTACTGTGAACATTCATGTGTGGTAAGGTGAACATTCATGTGTGGTAAGGTGAACATTCATGTGTGGTTAGGTGAACATTCATGTGTGGTTAGGTGAACATTCATGTGTGGTAAGGTGAACATTCATGTGTGGTTAGGTGAACATTCATGTGTGGTACTGTGAACATTCATGTGTGGTACTGTGAACATTCATGTGTGGTAAGTTGAACATTCATGAGTGGTAAGGTGAACATTCATGTGTGGTAAATTGAACGAACATTCATATGTGGTAAGGTGAACATTCATGTTTGGTAAGGTGAACATTCATGTGTGGTAAAGTGAACATTTATCTGCAGCAAGTGGTTCCACAGCCACAACCAAATAACTGATGGCAACAGTGTACTTGGTTCAACAGTCACTAATCACCTCAAATTTCAAATGTCCATCAAATATTAGCCATCATAAGTGAAAGAAATATTATGTAATACATAATTTATAAAAAAAATATGTAAACAATACAAATTACATTTGCCTCGTGCCAAAAATTATAAAGCTATTGTCTCCCGAGCCTAAAAAATCACCTAACTAACTCCAACCTAACCTAACTAACTTCATCACCTCTCTCTGTGTGAGTTTAGACACCGCCCCACCTTACCATACTATCGAAGATGTCCCTCTGATGGATGTGGATGGTAATGAGGGTCTCGTATTTGGTTCTCTGAACGGCCTCGAGGTCCCTAGTCGTCTGGTTGATCAAAAGGTTCAGCAGCTCCAGGAACCTGTTGTTCATATCCGACATGACCCGGCGGTCAGCGCGGGCTTGCATCAGGGCCAACTCCGAGTCCCTGGTCCAGATCATCTGTAGTCCCAGGATGCCAACCTATAATGTTAAGAGGGGGGGGGGGGATTGACACCAATGTACACTCTATATTAGTAGTAGGGAGGAAGACTCACAGGTGATTTTTTTTTCTGGGGGGAAAAATCACGTTTAAGTTGTAAGACTCACAGGTGATTTTTTTTCAGGTCAAATATCACGTGTAGCACTTTAGGGTTTTCAGGCAAATTTGGGGAGTCACAGATTTGGAATTAAGGAATTCTTATGAGGAAAATAATTTCTGAGATTTTAGAGGTTTGTTAAGCGTTCTTATGAGGAAAATAAGTAGGAAAATCTTAAAGAAAATTTTTAGAAAATATCGTGTTTGTGTCACAGCATTTTCCAGGTAAACTCTACGGACAACCTTTGCCTGTTTTCAATAACCGAACATTTGGAAAAAGAGGTCGATTTGGAGTTAAAGGTTTCTTATGGAGAAATTAATTTCCGAGATGTTTAGAAAGTTTGTTAAAAGTTCTTATGATGAAAGTAATGTCATACGAGTTGTTAAAGCTCTTATGATGAAAATAATGTCACACAAGTTTGTTAAGAGTTCTTATGGGAGAAATTCAAATTTTTCAGAGTTCAGTTTTAAGAAAATATTTCAGAGTTTCAAATAATCATAGAAGTTTATTTATATGTTTATGACCGAATTTGTAAAAAGACCATTTTCAGAGAATATTGTCTTAGATGTTTTGTTAAGGAAAACAGACAACTTAGCCATAACATTTTGTTTTATATCCATTTACGGCTATTTCACATGTAAAGACCAAAATTGAACAGAGCCCAGTTATAGACAGAATTTCGTCAGAGTCCATTTTATACCTAAAAATGAACAGAGACCACTTTGTGAGCAAAATTAGCCAGAGACAGTTTTAAGCTCAAATTTCATCAGAGTCCAATTATCAACAGAAATTCGCCAGAGTCCAGTTGTCTAGCAAAATTAGTCAGAGACAGTTTTAAGCTCAAATTTCGTCAGAGTCCAATTATCAACAGAAATTCGTCAGAGTCCAATTAACGACAGAAATATGACAGAGTCCATTTTCTACCCAATTTTCATCAGAGTCCAGTTTATACCGAAAATTTGCCAGAGTCCACTTTGTGCCAAAATATTCAGAGTCCAGTTCTTGATCGAAATTAATCAGAGTCCAATTGAAGACCCAAATTTGACAGAGACCACATTTTCGCTACTAGCAGTCCAATCCCCCTGAAATTTTAAACAGTCATATTTCAGTCGTAGTAAATAAGATCAAATCAGTTACTGAGCTCCAGCTCTCGTCCCCCACCCTACTCCCCCTTCAAGTCTTTGTTAATATCCTATCAATTCCCCTGAAATTTTTACCCTCTGTATTTCAGACACCATAAATAAGATAAAAAACAGTTAACGAGCTCCAGCTCTCGTCCCCACCTTAGTTCTCTCTCGTATCTTTGTAAATAACCCATCAATTTCCCTGAAATTTTTACCCTCTGTATTTCAGACATAGTAAATATGATGTAAACAATTATAATGCAGACTATACATGCAGACGACAGTGCAACTCGCCAACGATCATTTCATGAGATCATTTACAAGCCCCGAAATGTTTTATCACCACCACTAGAGACTAACCCAGCATATGTTACCTCTGGAAGATAACCAACCTGTGCTGGAAACTGATCCAGGAAGCGGAGGACGTTAAGGTCTGGATCCTGGATGACGTGGTGTGCCTGGCGGATGATACCATGCACAGACTGCTGACACATCACCAAGAGTTTCATTAACCAAATTTCAACGCTGCCCTCGGCTCGCACCGGTTTCTCCAGCTGTTTAGAGATTCATACTTAGCTTTTATTTTAATTAATAAAATTATAAAGCGAGTGAAATATTGCTAAAACCAAATAAACATCCATAACATCAACTGGTTCTCCTCACCATAACAATTTCACCCTCAGAGGAAGAGATAGCAGTAATGCGGTCATAATCCTGCTCGTGGAATCGGACGGTCTTGGTGTTGTCAAATATGGAGAGGAGGTGGGCCTGGATTGTGTGTGAGTCTGAGGCCTGGCCCAGGATCTCCAGCAGCGCTGGGTCAGACACAAAGAAGAAGCGAGGGAACATCATTCTCTTCTTCTCAAGATAGCTGCCACAAGGGAAAAGGAAAGCGGTTAGTTCGGTTACTGAAAATTTAAATTCATCATTAGAGGGTTTGTGGTTCTTGCAACTGTCCAGCTGTATTTTTATATTTTGTTTCTGGGTTCGAGCTCTGGCCAGAGAGAATTGACTGGGACCCATTCCTTAATTGTTCGATCCTATTTGCCAAGTAGTAATTGAGGAACTTGTTGTAACTCGATTAGTGGATCCTGTTCCAGTGGAAATTCCAGTTCCCAACTGTGTAAATAGATGAAACACAGGATTAATGAAAACAAGAAATCATTATATTGCATCTGGGATATGTGTGCTGCAAACTAGTGGCAAAAACATACTCTTCACCGATGAGGCCAAACTCTTCAATGAACACAAGGAACCGTTTGTTTAACTTAACAAGCAATTAAGGCAGTCAAGAAACTTACATCCGTAAGGTACATCTCATAATACCTTCTCAACAGCAAGGGATGAAAATGAAACACAAGCTCACACCTATCTTGAGCATGTACCGCTTTCCTTGACGCCCCCTCACTCCATTAATTGTACTCTATGCAAGTTACATAACCGTGTGAGAAGGCTCTTCTTTAGACATAACACGTTTTGGTTGGAATAGTTTCTACATCACTGTTCCCATAATGGAGAGATGTTAGCAGCATTACTGTTATGTACAAGGACACTTCTCAAGTTCCCCAGCTGGCCCAGCGTCGTCGATAAACACCAGTGGCATGTGCCCAAAACCCATAACGGGTGTTGCCGGGTGTTTGTTAGTCAGGGAGCTGGTGTGGCGGTGCATGAGCTTCACCACCAACCAACATAAGGCAATCAATGGAGTGGAATTGGTACTTTGGAAGCCGGTGGGGTGATCCCTGTCCTCGCAGGTACCAATTCTGTCAGGATAATAGAGTTTACATTGTTAATTTACAGCACCACCGATCGTCCCAAGTCGATCAGTAGTGTGGTGGTCACTTTACTGTGTTCATTTGGGGGTGACCGTGGGCATCATGGGTTCGAATCCTGGTCGGGTCATTGAGAGTTCTTAATGATCTATTGATTGCCTCTTTCTGCAGTCTCCTATATATATATATATATATATATATATATATATATATATATGTCGTACCTAGTAGCCAGAACGCACTTCTCAGCCTACTATGCAAGGCCCGATTTGCCTAATAAGCCAAGTTTTCATGAATTAATGTGTTTTCGAGTACCTAACCTACCTAACCTAACCTAACCTAACTTTTTCTGCTACCTAACCTAACCTGACATATAGAGATAGGTTAGGTTAGGTTAGGTAGGGTTGGTTAGGTTCGGTCATATATCTACGTTAATTTTAACTCCAATAAAAAAAAATTGACTTCATACATAATGAAATGGGTAGCTTTATCATTTTATAAGAAAAAAATTAGAGAAAATATATTAATTCAGGAAAACTTGGCTTATTAGGCAAATCGGGCCTTGCATAGTAGGCTGAGAAGTGCGTTCTGGCTACTAGGTACGACATATATATATATATATATATATATATATATATATATATATATATGTCGTACCTAGTAGCCAGAACTCACTTCTCAGCCTATTTTGCAAGGCCCGATTTGCCTAATGAGCCAAGTTTTGCTGAATTAATATATTTTCACTAATTTTTTTCTTATGAAATGATAAAGCTACCCATTTCCTTATGTATGAGGTCAATTTTTTTTTATTGGAGTTAAAATTAACGTAGATATATGACCGAACCTAACCAACCCTACCTAACCTAACCTAACCTATCTTTATAGGTTAGGTTTGGTTAGGTAGCCCAAAAAGGTAGGTTAGGTTAGGTTAGGTAGGTTAGGTAGTCGAAAAACAATTAATTCATGAAAACTTGGCTTATTAGGCAAATCGGGCCTTGCATAGTAGGCTGAGAAGTGCGTTCTGGCTACTAGGTACGACATATATATATATATATATATATATATATATATATATATATATATATGTCGTACCTAGTAGCCAGAACGCACTTCTCAGCCTACTATGCAAGGCCTGATTTGCCTAATAAGCCGAGTTTTCATGAATTAATTGTTTTTCGGCAACCTAACCTACCTAACCTAACCTAACTTTTTTCCGCTAGCTAACCTAACCTAACCTATAAAGATAGGTTAGGTTAGGTTAGGTAGGGTTGGTTAGGTTCCGTCATATATCTACGTTAATTTTAACTCTAATAAAAAAAAATTGACCTCATACATAATGAAATGGGTAGCTTTATCATTTCATAAGAAAAAAAATAGAGAAAATATATTAATTCAGGAAAACTTAGGTTATTAGGCAAATCGGGCCTTGAATAGTAGGCCGAGAAGTGCGTTCTGGCTACTAGGTACGACATATATATAATATATATATATATATATATATATATATATATATATATATATATATATATATATATATATATATATATATATATATATATATATATATATATATATATATATATATATATATATATATGTCGTACCTAGTAGCCAGAATGCACTTCTCGGCCTACTATGCAAGGCCCGATTTGCCTATTAAGCCAAGTTTTCCTGAATTAATATATTTTCTCTAATTTTTTTCTCATGAAATGATAAAGCTACCCATTTCATTACGAATGAGGTCAATTTTTTTTTATTGGATTTAAAATTAACGTCGATATATGACCGAACCTAACCAACCCTACCTAACCTAACCTAACCTATCTTTATAGGTTAGGTTAGGTTAGGTAGCTGAAAAAGTTAGGTTAGGTTAGGTTAGGTAGGTTAGGTAGTCAAAAAACAATTAATTCATGAAAACTTGGCTTATTAGGCAAATTGGGCCTTGCATAGTAGGCTGAGAAGTGCGTTCTGGCTACTAGGTACGATATATATATATATATATATATATATATATATATATATATATATATATATATATATATATATATATATTTATATATATTTATGTTTATATATTAATATTTATATTTATATATTTATATATATATATATATATATATATATATATATATATATATATATATATATTTATATATATTGGAGCAAGTGTCTGGAAGACCTACAGGAAACGGACACATCCAAGAGTAGGGTACTCTCACAATGACTATAATGGGCAACTCCAGGTAACACAGGGTAAAAATAATATAAAATAATATTCGTTTCAGAAGATCCCTGAACGGGGTGTTTTAGAAACCCTTAGTACAGAAACTGGCGAGATTTTGAACGACCCATGACCTACAGAAGCACCACCAGTGACGCAGACACAGCAAAACATATTGGCACAGGTTGAGGTCCTTAGAGCAAGGAATGGACAGCAACTCCTGGAAAACCAGCAACAGGTCGTACCCAGGAACAGCAGCAGAGAATGTCATCCAGTGAAACAAGAAGCCCTGAGAAACTATAGCAATGCGGCTTGGGGAGACTGAAGAAGTAATAAGAGGTAACCAGAATCAGAAAAGGGGCTACAGAACTACAGAGGAAACAGCAGAGACCCACCCCACGAACATGGGATGGAACAGTAGGTCTGATGGTAGAAGTTTTTATTACAGAGAAAGAGTTCATTCGGCCTATACCAGGAACAAGGCGGCCGAGAGGAACGATTCTTTAATGGAGAAACAGACGGACAATAAACACTACGAAGGTTGGCAGGCCATTAACAGGCGCCGCAACACCTGCCGGCAACAACGAGGAGGCCAACAGCCACAAGAACAAAAGTGTGGCAGATGGAACAGCTGGCGAGATAACAGATGCTCATGAAGAAATTGAACGATTTGGTGATATCTGAGGTAAAACTGTCCCACATTGAGAAAACAGTTTTGAACAAAGGATTTTCATTTGTCATATGGCCACCATCAAGACGGGAGGGATTGGAAGTTAAGATGGACTATCTAGAGAATTGGGTCAATTTAACGTGGGACAGGGCAACCACAGATTACAGGAACAACCCCTTAGGAAACAGATGGATATATACTAATGATCCCCTAACACTCTGCTTCGGGTATCTCCACCCTACAGGAAATGATACACACACAACAATCAAGATGGTGGGAATACATAAGAAGTTACACCAGATAAAAACGGTGCTTTCAGAAACCTTAGAAACCAGAAGGAGGCTAAACTTATTAAAGGAGTAAAGGACAGCCCTCTTTCTACTGAAAGCCAGTAAGCCAGTAGACATTGTCACTAAGCCAGAGGATAAGGGAACAACAATGGTTATACTGAGAATGAAAAACTAAAAACAAATAATGTTAAGGCACCTTGAACACGGATCCACATACCTACAAACTCAAAACTAAGAAACAATGCTGCTCGATGCACATAAACGAAGCAGAATACTTGTCCTGAAGGTTTACAGAAACAGGGACAAAATGATAAGAAGTAATGGAGGTTTGATCTGACGGCAACGAGGGACTTCTCCCATGGCGTTCGACTCCTGGATCTCATCACTATACAACATCCCTAAACTCCACAAGGATAAGTTTGATGAACCAAACACGTAGGAAGGTAGGGGAGTCTTCAGTGGGTGTATGGGAATAAAGAGACCTATTGACCTGCTCTGCACAGCCCTCCTGACGCCACTACTAAGACTCCTCCCAGAGAGACTCAAGGACACCACTGACTATTTGGGATGCCTACAAGGACATCACAACACACATACCACAGAGAGCCTGCCTTCCTTTTCTCACTGGATGTTGTTTCACAGTATCCAAGCATTCCACAGAGGGAAGCAGCCGTTTTTGTAGAAAATAAATGTGGGATATAACAGGAACACACACAGACAGGGGCTCTAAGTTTTCCAACGCAGGAACTTCTGGAGGAATCAATTCTTCATTTGATACGGGGTATACTACTACAACTCGACAGGAGGACCTACCGCAAAATTAATGGACGGCAATTGGAGCATCTAGTAGTGTGGCCAGTGCTGAGATTTTCGTTCACATGTTATTTGAAGAAGCCCGTTCAACTGCGCACCGGCCCGGCGATCTATCTAAGGTACATCAATGACATCTTTGGCATTATGGCCGGAGGATAACAGGATTTAGACGCTTTCTTTTGCTGGGCAAACTCGGTACATGGAAACATGCAGTTCACCCCTAGAAACAAGCGAGGAGAGTATAACCTTGCTAGACACATTAGTCTACCAGGACAACCTGGACAAAGAAAGAAAGCTATAAACAACGATATACTATTAGTCAACAAATCTGTATTCCTACCTGATATTCTTGTCAAATCACCCACATGCTCTAATGAGGTCCCGTCCCTACTCCTTTGCTTTCGGACTTGAAAGGATTGTGAGAAACAGTAACAGATTACAACAGGCACTATCAGTCCTGTGGCAACATTTCAGATGCAAAGGATACCCTGAAAATATCCTACAGGACGTTATGTGGAAAGTGGACCAGACAGATAGGCAGACCATACTACAGGGTACACGAGGACGGAATAGTAATAGCACACTAATTTTTCCGCCTTGTCTATTTCAGGAATGGTGGGACCTCTTAAGGATGAACTCAGCAGATTATGGACTTGATCAATGGACACCTACAAGGACCACCCGACCTGGGAGAGATTTTCCCAAGGCACTGCCACTGTTGGCTTGTATAAAGAGCCAACCGCAAAAGGATACTCTCATTAGGGCGAGGTTCTCACATGATTGAAGTTATAGTTTCAGTTGTGTCGGGGTTGAGGAAGTCTGACATCAAAAAGTAAGCCAGGGGTGTGAGACAGAAAACAGGGAGAAGGAAGGCAGGAAGAGTCATACCCACATACATTTATGGCAGCCAGAGGTGTGAGGCAAAACAGGGAGAAGGAAGGCAGAAAGAGAGTCATACCCACATACAGTTACGGCAGCCAGGTATACGAGGCAAACAACAGGGAGAAGGAAGGCAGGGAGAGAGTCATGCCCACATACAGTTATGGCAACCTGGGGTACGAGGCAGATAACAAATGAGAACTCACCCGGAGAGACTCTTCTGGCAGACCTCTAGCTGGTCTTGAAGGTATGGGAGAAGTTGTTTAAGCATGTCGTCCCCCACGCAGCATGTCACCACATTGGGATTGTCGTGTGCCCGGGCCATGATTTTTTGCCAGTTCTTGTCGATCACGTAGAACCTACAAAAGTTTTGTTCCTTTGGATTAGACACTGAAATATAGAGGTATGCATTCTTCTTTTCTATGGTTTCTGAACGATTGAGTTAAGACTAGTAAATATAGATTTGTATTAGAGTTAAAATAAGATTGTCATGATCTTTTGCCTGATTTTTACGAGCCCTTGGATCTATAGCAAATTTTCATCTATATTAAAAATAATAAAAGGTTTAATGTAAGCTGTATTTTTAAACATTCTTATTTAGGATTCGTTGCTCCAGCATAACTCTGCCTCAGGGTCTAGTGTAGAACAGAAACATATTGAACGCATCCTAAATCTCTGTAGTAATGTGGCAGGCGGGTACTGAATTTTGTCTGCTAACATGTTTATAACGTTATATATGAGAACATAAAATTACAGCTGGTATACGAGGCGGAGTGACTGACGGAATGAATGTGAGTGAAAGACTTACAGACAGAAGGACAGTGAGTGGGGTGATACAGGCAACATTAGGACACCACCTCACCTCTTAGCCTCCTTGGGTAGTTGCTTGGCGATATCTCCCCCGACGAAGACAGCCTCAAGGTAGACCCACAGATTCTGTACGAACAACCATCTCTCCAGGATCTCGTTCGCGTTGGACAGGTCGCTCACCCACTTCTGAATCTGCTTCCGGAAGGGTGCATTATACCTGAAAATATTTTCAGCTTCTGAGAGCTGCCATCACCAAGGTATTTGTACTTAATCAAAGAGTAGCAAGTGCAATAGATCCTTTCGTTAAATCAGAATAAAGAAATATAATAAAGTTGTCTGTTAAAGGAAAACCTTGTTGCAGAGATATTATACAGTGATGAGTAAAGGTAAACCTTATGTGGGAGAGAAGGTAAGGTAAAGGAATTATCAGGAGAGAACACTCTGTCATTGAGACTATATCGCACTTGGAAAGGATATGAGAATAAGGATTAAGGATAGGACGGAGGAAAGGAAAGGAAAGGGACTCAACTACTTGGACGGTCGGGGATCGAGTACTTATCTGCAACAAGCAAGAGCATTGGTCTGGTTGGTCCAGTCCACATGGTTGGAGTGAAGAATGAGATGTATTTTCTGATGAAAGTATGAGCTAAAATTTGGTAAAGAATGAATTTTTTTTTTATTCGTTATGAAGTGATTGAGGAGATGAAAGATGGAAAAGAACTAATTATTAGAGGGAAGAACTATTGTTCAGAGAAAGATGCAGAAGGCTTTAAGGCACTTCTAGTTGGAATGCTTGAAGCGGAGTACCAAGAGGGAGGAAGGAATAGCCTTCATGTTTGACTTCATTATATCATCTCTACAACTGCGTTAGAAATCATCCATTCATATCTAACATTGAGGGCTGCAGCAATTTGCATATATTTCACAGCAATCTTATAACGAGAAGGCTACAACACCCACAAGTCACGTGACACAAGATAACCAACAAGAGGATGCATGACAAGCCACACGACATTGGGTCTGACCCGTGATTAGCCTACCTTGAGGTGCTTCCTTGAGGTGCTTCCGGGGCTTAGTGTCCCCGCGGCCCGGTCGTCGACCAGGCCTCCTGGTTGCTGGACTGATCAACCAGGCTGTTAGACGCGGCTGCTCGCAGCCTGACGTATGAGTCACAGCCTGGTTGATCAGGTATCCTTTAGCCGGAAAATGATTCTCAATATTTGCATGGTTTAGAGGTAAGTGCACTACTGCCGGCTTCGTCCCTGAGGATAGTGATTGACTGATGAAGATTAAGTCATCCAAGAAGTGGCACGGGCATGAATAGCCCGTAATGAGGATAGTAACTGGCTTATCTGAGGACTTGTGAGGAGGACCGAACTAGATTGATTTTTAATATTGCTTACCAGATAGGTATCTGGACAGCTTCTAGTTCTTCACTCTCCAGCTCGTTTCTCTGTTGCAGCTACAACCAAGAGAGTCGACCAGTCATCAAGTTGGAAAACTGGCCGTAAATGCAGAGATATTGCAACAGTGGTTCGCAGAATGGAAACTGTTAAGGAGCGAGCCTGTATAATTGTTGCATCTTATTTCCGGCATTATTAAAAGCATTTCGGGACCCAAGAAGATAGTGGTCTCGTGTATAGTTTATTAATTAAATTACTATGCAAATTAAACGAGGTCCGTAAATGTTGTTTGTGTGGCTGCTTTGCCAGCAGTTCCCAGAGGATTACAGCCTATCCATGAAGATAAACTACAGTGCTCATCGTGGTAGAGGACTCTGTACTCAAAGGTAAAGTTAATGAAAATAGAAGTACTTTTGAAGGATAATAAATCTACATGACTGTAGTAATGATGATGCCAGTCCCGATAATGAAGCTAACGTTAACATGATTTTATTACAGTAAAATACCATGAACCCCAAACTATGATGCAAAAAAGGACAGGAAAATCAGTAATTTTCCTGTCAGTTCAAGTTCAAGTTCAAGTATGTTTATTGAGATAAGAAAAAAATACATCTCAAAGGGATAGAGTAGCTTAGGCTATTTCTACCCCCCTTATTTCCTGTCAGTAACCACAGCATAAGGCATATATCACGCTATCACAAGCCGCCGGGATAAATACGACTATCTTGAGGTTATCTTGAGATGATTTCGTTTTTTTTTTTTTTTTAGTGTCCCCGCGGCCCGGTCCTCGACCAGGCCTCCACCCACAGGAAGCAGCCAGTGACAGCTGACTAACACCCAGGTACCTATTTTACTGCTAGGTAACAGGGGCATAGGGTGAAAGAAACTCTGCCCATTGTTTCTCGCCGGCGCCTGGGATCGAACCCAGGACCACAGGATCACAAGTCCCGCGTGCTGTCCGCTCGGCCGACCGGCTCCCGGTCGACTAGCTGACATTTCCATCACAACATGATACATTTTTGAGACTCTCTGGAGCAGGACTGCGGGATCGAACCAGCGTCCTGGACAGACGCCCACCGCTCCATAAGATTTTCTCATTGAAATATTACCGTCATTTGACTTCATTGTATATTTGATGGGCGTGTTTGGTGAACTGACTTACCTACACCAGAGTGAATGTGGGTTACATTACCTACACCACAGTAAGTGTGGGTTACATTACCTACACCAGTGTGTATGTGGGTTACATTACCTACACCAGTGTGTATGTGGGTTACATTACCTACACCAGAGTGTATGTGGGTTACATCACCTACACCAGAGTGTATGTGGGTTACATCACCTACACCAGAGTGTATGTGGGTTACATCCCCTACACCAGAGTGTATGTGGGTTACATCACCTACACCAGAGTGTATGTGGGTAACATCACCTACACCACCATTTAGAGCCGGGAAGATCATGGTTCTCGCAGCTCCTTGACCACTACGACAAAATCATTGAGAAATTTTAAGAAAACAGGATGCAGATGTATTATACAGACTTAGTAAAGGCATTTGATAAGTGTCACCATGGTGTGATAGTATACAATTTGAAGTCAATTGGAATAGCAGGAAAGCAGGACAGGAGGGCAGGACGGTGGATATTCAACTTTCTGTCGAATAGAACACAAAGAGTAGGAGTCAACGAAATACAATCAAGTCATGAAAATCAGCATGAAAATTACTTCGTTTGAATACATTGAAAAATTACATGTAGATATTAATAAAGTTTTCGACTGGGCCGCAGAAAATAACACGATGTTTAACAGTGATAAATTCAGGTAGTCAGGTATGGTAAAAGTGATGACCCTAAACATTATACAGAGTATAAAACACAATCAAATCTGCCCTTAGTAGGAAAGCAGCATGTAAAGGATCTAGAAATGACGATGTCTGACTATTAAACGTTTAGAGAGCATAATCAAGCAAATATAGAATAAGCCAGAAAATTAAGAAGGGCAATTAACATAGATTGCTTTCTTGCTGACTGCCCGGTTGACAGTAAATTAACATAATCAATCACCGAGACTAATTAGTGTATTTGATAAGACTATTGTTTTGATTGTAGTCCTGAGAGACGTGTGTTAACGTAATTCAGAGACTGGAGACTGTCGCAGTGACCCACCTTGCTGTGTTTGCATTGTAATTAATTGCAATTTGATGCAATTACTTGAATTGCAACCTAAGTCTTAAGCGAGCACCCGTATTGTTCAATTAGTCCATTATATAAGCCCGAGCGGCACGGATCAGAATCTGCGCTATACTAATAGCGGCAAGGAGAGGTCTCCTTGCTAAACTGCTGTCTTGATAGCTGTCTTTAGTTTCACTTAAGGACATTAACGTAACGTTAAGAGTGTTGTGCCTTGTATTAGATTTAGTTCTTTTATGAGTAAATTGTTATTGTTGCCAAAAGAAAAGTGTGTTTATTTCAATACCTTCCAATATTATTGTCTCACCAATGTTGTTAAATACCGAGCTGTTCTTGCAATCTTTAGTGAAGGCCAGCTTCTGGATTTGAACCCAAGTCATAGCCGCACACATCAAATTAAATTTGGTGAGAGAACCCGTGAGCTGCCCCCTAAGATTGCACTAAGCACTTGAGGAGCTTAACGACCTAGTGGATGAGGGTCTCATTGTGTTGGAATCCTGGCGGTTGATCCCACCATTTATTACAGTTTTAAAGTATAATCTGCTCTGGCATTTAATGTGCAGGCTTGTGTAGTCCTTTCTGACTGAGGACATTTGTATTAGTGTCTCCCTAAATAAATAAATCTCACACACACGGACCTCAGTAACTTCAATGAAGACTTCCTAGGCTAGCACTCCATCCCCAGAGGGCGGGAGGTTGAACGTGAGGTCTCGAGGTGATTAATATGTCAATCACGGCCACTCTGTTACATTAACAATTATCAGGGCAATAACAAACACGTCCACTACAGAAAGAAAATACTTCTCCAGAGCTCCATGGTAGTTCTCCTATCTTCATCTTCAATTGGAAGTAGGTGCTAAGGTGCAAGGAGCCTCTGGCTATCTGGGTTCGAATCCTTCAAAGATGAGGAGTTTCTGTTGCATATTAGCATGGGACCATTCAATCTTGCCACACATAGGTTACTCACGTGGCCCTAGCAAGATGAAGTGAGTTGAAATATCTGTGCTCAAAAAGGTTACCGAGAGCTGTCGGGAACTGGGTCAATGGTCAGACGACTTCCAATTCTTTTGAACACTCAATGTGGTCTAGTGGTGAAATTACTGGACATGCCAAGGTGCATAGAGCCCGTGGCTATCTGGGTTTGAATCCTTCAGGGGGGTTGAGGAGTTTTCTACAAAATGGGTAAGGGGTCGGCAGATTACTTAACTAAGAGCAATTGATATCTTCACAGTAGTAGGAAGCTTCCTCTCATCGCTAGGCTAACTGTATTCTTAGCTGCTTCGGGCTCCTCTTCTCGACTCCCACAATATTCTTGATGCTGTAGATCACTCACTAGGCTCCTCTTCTAGAAAATCCTTCGAAAATCTTCGTCCCTTCGAAAGCACCAGGGAAGGTGTCCTCGGAGAGGTCCATCGCCATCAACAACGTTAATTTCCCATTAGCATACGTCACTCTGTAAGACGTACACCTCGTATATAGCTTGAGACCAATGCCGACTGCACTGATTCACTCCCTCGGCAGATTATTCGACTACTGCCTCCAATGGTTGAATAATGTTGGCTCCATGTAACTTCACAATATTACTGTTTATTCACATTAGTCACGGGTTATTCACATATTGGCCAACAAAGAATCACTGTCGTCACTGACCCTGGTCATAGGCAAAAGTTAATAGTTGACTCTCTTACCGGTTCTCCAGTTGAATCCTTCAAGCCTCTTCAGCGCAGATTTTTCTTGGTGATCAACTTGTAGGCATATGACCCTTACAAAGCATGTTGGGACCACCTCCGGAACTTGACGGTTATTCTCATTCGATTTGATCTACCGTCGTCCATTGATACCTGGTTGATGGGGTTCTGGGAGTTCTTCTACTCCCCAAGGCCGGCCCGAGGCCAGGCGACTTGGCCAGGCTGTGCTTGGACTTACCTGGTGATGGGGTTCTGGGAGTTCTTCTACTCCCCAAGCCCGTTGACTTGTGAGAGTTTGGTCCACCAGGCAAAGTACAAAGTAAGGCAAGTACCATTGGTACTTGCCTTTCCCAATTGTGAGAGAGAGATCTGACCAGCTGTCTTAATGTGCGTAAAAGAGTGTACAAGCCTCAATTGACTCCAATGAGTGCACAAGAGTATGTGCACAAAGTCGAATTTGGTTAATAAGAAACTAAATTATGCCTTGTTGGGTATCCTTTGACAGCTCAGGTCAACAGGATCCCATTGTTGCCAGGATAGCCGTCGTGGTTGTCACCATTCAGTAATTACAGGAAGATGAAGTAGAATAATAGCTAATTAACCTCCTGGGGGATGTAAAGTCCAGAAATAGAGTCTGGTGGTACATTGGAGAGCTGCAGTTAAGACAAGGGCTATGGTCACACGGTCCCCTTGTTGGTCTAGGTCTCCGTCACGTAGTCATGACGTCACGGGATCATGCCACCCAGATGAACTGCTCGTGAATGGCTAGACCTTAGTGTCTGGAGCCGGACTGGTTCTTTTCAAAGAACAAGGGGGGGGGGAGTGTGAGGGTCACCGCCTGGAGCAGGCCGCCTCATAACTTCCCCCCTCATTGTGAAGTTGTCGCTTGCCTGAGGTAGACGTGATTCAGGTAACTCATTACCAGACAAATTTCATCTAGCTGTCCCGCCTACAGACTCAAGAACGTAGTATTTACAAATGATTAAACGAGAGAGAGGGAGAAAGTGCTCACCACGTGATTTTCAAGCAGAAGCACCTACACTGCCAGTTTTAAATCCGTGTTTATTGTTATCATCCGTTAGCCTATTGCTGTGAGAGTTATCTAGAGCGGATAAGCATTGATTAAATAGTGTGCTGTTAATATATTTCTCTGAGTTAGATAACTGTATTTACACCTATTTTGTAGACTTAAGTGCTTTGCCACCCAACGCCGTGCCACCCCACAACATGTGCTTGTGGGGGTTGAGCTCTGGTTCTTTGGTCCCGCCTCTTAACTGTCAATCAACTGGTGTACAGATTCCTGAGCCTATTGGGCTCTATAATATCTACATTTGAAACAGTGTACGGAGTCAGCCTCCACGCATCACCGTGTCCACCGTGTGTCTCACTCCGTGTGGTCACACTTGCCAACCTGTGTGAGGTTGTCGCCGGCCACCCAGCTGTTTAAACGCCGCGCTACGCACAACCACGGTGCCGTGAGTGTCAGCCGCACCTGCCACCTGGTTCACCCCACGTGTTCTCGCACGTGGTAAATCCTTGAGGCACTTACCTTACTAACTTATAGCATTGTTTGTGCCGTCTACGATCTTACTAGATGGGATAAATGACTATTGATGCAGGTAAGGACTGCATTTAGACGGCGTTCGTAATAGCGGGTCACTCGGTTAGGGAAGATAAGGTTAGGTAAGGTCAGGTTAGATAAAGTAAGGTTAGGTAATGGTTAGGTAAGGCAAGGTATGGTTAGGTAAGGCAAGGTATGGTTAGGTAAGGTAAGGTTAGGTAAGGTAAGGTAAGGTTAGGTAAGGTAAGGTAAGGTAAGGTAAGGTTAGGTTAGGTAAGGTAAGGTAAGGTTAGGTTAGGTAAGGTAAGGTTAGGTAACGGGAGGTAAGGTAAGGTTAGGTAACGGGAGGAAAGGTAAGTTGCCTGCACAGGAAAGGTAAGGTTAGGTAACGGGAGGAAAGGTAAGGTAAGGTAAGGTTAGGCAAGGTATGTTAGGTATGGTAAGGTTAGGAAGGGTAAGGTAAGGTTAAGTAAGGAAAGGTTAGGTTAGGTAAGGTCCGGTTAAATAAGGTAAGATAAGGTTAGGTAAGGTCAGGTTAGGTTAGGTGAGGCAGGTTAGGTTTGGGTAATATTAGTGCAGTGTTTTGTGTCCGTCGTAGGAAGAGGGCAGGAGGGACTGATCCATCTCATAAGAGTGAAGTTTATGACAAGTCTGCCCTAGGACCTGCTGCTGATGTAAGTTCACTGTTGTTGCCTTGATGAGACCTTCCCGCCAAACACACACCGAAACTACGACGTTGGTACAACGTTCGAGCAAGTTTTAACACCTCCTAACCAGTTATAACAACCAATATAGCAAGTTGTAACAGCGTTCTAATACGTCATAAACACGTTAAGCCAAAATGTAACAACTTTATTACACGTTGTAACAAGCGGAAAATAGAGACAGTTTCGGTTTGTGTTTCCAGGGTTACTGTTTAGGGGTAAGAGTGCAGGAACCCCGGTTAAATCTGCCTTAAGAGTGAGTATTTCTCCGCTGAGTAAGAGTTGAAAGGACATAGTAAGAGCGTTGCTCTCCTTCCAAGCTCTCTCTTATTGTTCATGCTGACAGAGGAAGGGTCAACTTTAAGGAGAGGAGGGAGCCCAGCACCATGAGAGAGGAGCCTACCTGTTGGAGAGGAGGGAGCCCAGCACCATGAGGGAGGAGCCTACCTGTTGGAGAGGAGGGAACCCAGCACCATGAGGGAGGAGCCTACCTGTTGGAGAGGAGGGAACCCAGCACCATGAGAGAGGAGCCTACCTGTTGGAGAGGAGGGAACCCAGCACCATGAGGAAGGACCTACCTGTTGGAGAGGAGGGAACCCAGCACCATGAGGAAGGACCTACCTGTTGGAGAGGAGGGAACCCAGCACCATGAGGAAGGACCTACCTGTTGGAGAGGAGGGAACCCAGCACCATGAGGGAGGAGCCTACCTGTTGGAGAGGAGGGAACCCAGCACCATGAGGGAGTCCTCCAGCTGGGTGATGACCTCAGCAGTAGTGTCGCCCCGCAGCAGCAGTTCGCCGCGGTTCTTGAAGGTGGAGAAAGTCAGGTCATGGTTGGCCCACTCGTTGGTCACTATCCTCAGCTTCGCCTCAATGTCCTTCTCCTTCACGGCTGAGATGCAGATGTCCTGAAGGAGTAACATGCTGTAGTACATGTGTCTTATGTGTTGTTTATGTATCCCATGCTCCATGTTGGGGCTGCAGTACATGTATCTTATGTGTTGTTTATGTATCCCACGCTCCATGTTGGGGCTGCAGAACATGTGTCTTATGTGGTGTTTATGTATCCCACGCTCCATGTTGGGGCTGCAGTACATGTATCTTATGTGTTGTTTGTGTATCCCACGCTCCATGTTGGGGCTGCAGTACATGTGTCTTATGTGGTGTTTATGTATCCCAGGCTCCATGTTGGGGCTGCAGAACATGTGTCTTATGTCTTGTTTATGTATCCCACGCTCTATGCCGGGGCTGCAATACATGTGTCTTATGTGTTGTTTATGTATCCAACACTCCTTACTCGAGATAATACAGCTACAGTACGTACTCGCCTAGTTGTACTTGCGTGGGTTGAGCTCCGGCTCTTTGGCCCCTCCTCTCAACTGTTTATCTACTGATGAACAGATTCCTGAGCCTATTGGGCTCTATAATTTCTTCATTTGAAACTGAGTATGAAGTCTACCTCCACCACATCACAGCCAAATGCATTCTATTTATTAATTACTATTACATTCTGGCTCATTTGGGTACTCAGTTTCCACCTGAGTCCCCTTATTAGTGTTTCACCCATGCTAAATACTTTGTTTTTGTCCACCCTGTTAATTCCTCTAAAAAGTTTTTAGGTGGTGATCATGTCTCTTCTGTCTTCCAGGGACGTGAGTTTTAATTCCCGTAGGCTTTTCCAGTAACTCATACCTCTCAGCTCTGAGCATATTTAATATTGATAAATATGCTAGACTATTCTATAGAGATCTAACAAACATCATATAGAATAGTCTAGCATATTTATCAATATTAAATATGCTAGACTATTCTATATGATGTTTGTTAGATCTCTCGTTGATTATAATGCTCTGCACTTAATTAATTTCCCCTCCTCTGTGTTGGACAAACTTGAAGTAATACAGAACGAGGCCATGAGGATAATTCTTGGTGCCCCAAGATGCACAAGAATCATCAACATGAGGGAAGAACTGAAGTTTCCAACCATACTAGAGAGAATAATGCAAGTTAACACTACCTTCTGTCTTAAAGTCATGAGAGATCCTACATCTCCTGCATTGCTCAGAGACAAATTATTTAGTGCTGTTAACACCCTTTTGACTGGTGCCGACATACCAACTCACTCCTTTTATGATAATTGGCTGAGAAACAATGCTTACAATCTCATTAAACTTAACATTCCTTTTAAGTGCAATCTACCAGTCTCTGATATTCCTCTTTATCTGTACCCCACCATTCAAGTATCATACACACCTGTCACCAAGAAAGATAATGAGAATCTTGCTCTACTCAAAGCTGTCACTCTTGAAACAATTGCCTCCTCCATCGAGAGTCTAAGATCTCACGAGCACTGTGTCTACACCGACGGCTCAGTCCAGTCTTCTACTGGACGGACTGCAGCGGCATGTAGGTTTTATAGAAATAATATCTGCACAAAGTCTGTCAGTGTCAGGTTAAACAACTGGCTGACCTCCACACAAGCAGAACTAGCAGCATTACATTTAGCAACCAGCACATTAAAAAATATTGGAGGAGGAATAATATTCTGCGATTCAAAGTCTGCTCTTCAAGCAATCGAAAACTTCTCTTGGAAGATCGACAGCAAGAACCTAATACTCCCAATTATAAATGACCTAATTGATGCACAGAGTAAAGGGTCTCGAATCTCCTTTGTATGGATACCTTCACACATAAATATAACCCATCATAATGAGACAGACATTGCAGCCAAATTAGCGTGTAACAAGTTTGAAGTTGAATTAGATCTAGGTATCCCCATCTCTGCTGTCAAAACTGTATTGGTCCAAACATTCAGATCTGATAGGAAAGAACTTACTGACTCCCAACGACCTGAAAGTACTAGTATAAAAAGCTATGATTTGTTCAGATCTGAAACCTACATCTATGGACAGCACAAAACGTCCACTAGACTGTGCGACACAGTGGTTGCAAGGATCAGGTTGGGTTACCGTTACCTGTGGCAGGTGGCTGCAGGTGACGGGTCTCCCAATCCTGAGCACTCCAGTTGCAAACTCTGTGAGCAGGAACTACGGCATGATCTCCCGCACTACATCACTGAATGCCCAGTTATTAGACCTTTCAGACCAGTTGGCATGAGGTACCTGGAGCTTTGCAATTACTTTATTCACTCTCGTATTCTTGAAGATATCCTCACAGTATACCCAAAATTTGCCAGTGCAGGCTATTAAACACATGGCCCTGTATGACTAACCATCCTGCGAGATGGGGACTTGTATTACCACTGCTACCTTATTCAATCTTGTGTTGTTGATATCCTCAAAATGCATCCGGAGTCTGCCAGTGCAGACCGCTTATCACATGTCTCTGTATGACTAACCATCCTGTGTGATGGGGATTTTATAGCATCACCTAGTTAGCTTTTTTGACACACTGTACTCCACTTCATATAGTCTAGGGTAGCTGCACTAATGCAGATGTACCTCATAACTTAATAAAAAAAAAAAAATCAGCTCTGGGACATGTCTGGTGGCATACATCTGAATCTTCTCTAATTTTGTCTTGTGTTTAACTAGGTATGGACTCCAAGCTGGAGCTGGAGCTGGAGTCCTGGAGCTCCTGGATTGGTCAGATATATGTGGTATACAAAGTTCTGAATGATTCTTTGCACAAGTTTCTAAAGGCAATTCTTATGATGGACAATCTAGCATATGATACTCATGAAATCCTTTTGATTCGGGTTTCCTGGGGACAGGTTCGATGTAATATCAACTCCCAGATTTTTCTCTCTACTTGACTCTTGAAGGAATTTACTTCCCAGATGGTACCTTATGTTCTACCTCCTGGTCCTTAATCCAATTTTATTAATTTACATTTACCCGAGTTAAATTTAGTTGCCATTTTCTAGACCATCATCCAGTTTGTCCATGTCGTCTTGTGGTCTCTGTCTATCTACCTTCCTAGGTCTTGATTCTTCTCATAATTTTTGCATCATCAGCAAACAATGAGAGGATTGAGTCTATACCCTCCAGAAGATCGTTTACTTATCAGAAACACGATGGGTCCAAGTACAGAGGCCTGTGGGTCTCCGCTGGTGATATGTCGTAACTCTGTGGTCTCCCCCCCCCCCTCCCTGACTGTAACTCTGTTTTCTATTGCTTAGATTCTCCCTTATCTGCTGGACCCTCTTACTTTTTATTCCTATCAGTTTATCCATTTTTGTAACAGACTTTTATGGGGTACTATGTCAAAGGCTTTCATACAGTCTAAAAAATGTAGCCTGCCCACCCTTCTCTTTCTTACCTAATTTTTGTCACCTGGTCATAGAGTTTGATTGAACCTAAGAGGCACGATTTACCATCCCTTAACCTATCCTGGTGGTATGTTCAAAGCTCCATCCCTCCAGATGTTCTATGAACTTTTTTCTCACGACCTTCTCCATCACCTTGCATGGTTACAAGTTACAGAAACTGGCCTGTAGTTCAGGGCCTCTTGCTGGTCATCCTTTTTTAATATTGGTACTACACTAGCTGTCTTCCAGCTTTCCGCTAGGTCTCCTGTTTCCAGTGACCAGACACATACGTTCTACTCTTATGTGTTGTTAAACTATGTATCCCACACGCCATACTCGCGATGCTGCAGCTGCAGTACGTGTCGTATCTTGTTTTACATCTGTTTTCTGTTCTCAATACTACTAGGCCATTCTCAAGTTTTGTGCACAAATTTTAAATTATTTTCAATTGTTTTGAATCCAACAAAATTTATAAACTTTTTATTTCAAATGACTCGAGGAAATTAATAATTTATATATTTAATTAATTTTCTTAATACACAACGTAAAATGAAATGTATTAAATCCCACCCTAAGGCCCAATGAATATCATTTGTCATTACTGGGTCTGTTTACAGTCAACAAATACATTACACTACTTATTTACAAATCAATTTTTCCTGAAATATATCCATAATAACATTTACGAATCTCTTACGTGCAGTATGAGGGCGTACCTCAATGTCCTCCTTGAACTGGAGAATGGGAGTGTCCATGATGTTCCTGAGGCAGAAGTTCTCGCTGTCTACCTCCAGGGGTCTGTTGATGACCTCGGCGATACGCTGCCAGTGGCGAGGCTTCATGGCCTTGTTCGACATCAGCTCCAGCAGGGGGCACATGTCGTTGAAGTCATCAATGGTCTTCTTCAGTGTGTTGAAAGCCGGCCACTCCTTCAGACCTTTAGGCAGCTTGCGACATCTACAGGAAAAACAATATATTAAATATATGTGCTCCTGTAACTCAGCAATACACGTTTTGGTGTGTATCCACACACTCACATTATCTAGCACAATCCTCAAACAACATTACAGCTGCACTGACTGTAATATTGAGTGACTTTCTTATCATGTAACTCAGTGTTCAACATATTCTAGGTCGTGTGTAAGCTTCTGACATGGTCAAGACGTAAGTAAGTTAGTAAATAATTATCAAAAGAAGGCACCAAGCCGGGGAGGCTATCTAGCACCGTCAAATGTGCGGGATATTGAAAAGGCGCTAAATATCACTAATGATAATGATACGAGAAGAAAAGCGCATCAGATGAACAACATCAAAGGTATCTGATTCACCAAGGATTCTACTGAGGGACAGGTGACCGCGAGAGACAGTCAGGAAAGAAGAGTCAGGCACATCCTAGAAGTCAGGACATCCTGGAAGTCAGGACATCCTGATAGTCAGGACATTCAACAAGGATATGCACGACTATAAGAGGGACAATGCAGTTTGGACAATAAGGAGCAGGGCAGCGGTCCATGAATGTCCATGAGTTAAGCGTGTATGACCAATACGTAACCTCGCCAGAGCAATTTTCCACTGCCGGTTACGGTGGTAGGAGGAAGAACATTTAGGACACACTACCCTTAAGAGCACGCAGCTTGTTGCCAGTAACAGAAGACCAGCAATCCTGACAACGGGCACGGATTGAGAAATGAATAACTGGGTAGAAGTCGAAATAAGGAACACCTTTGCGAGAAATGTGGCAAGTTCGGATAGCCTCCTTAGTGGCAGCATCCACACACTCATTTAAGGAACCACCAATATGGCTAGGAACCCAGCAAACCTCAACTGTCTTAAATCTGCTAGAGATAAGAAACAGTCAATATTAAATTTCGGTGATCACAGAAGGGACAGGACTGAGGACACTGCGAGAGTCAATGACAACTACAAAGGAAGAATTACGACGAGAAAGCGGTTGATGAAGAACATAAAAAATTGCATAAAGTTTTGCTGTGAAGATGCTAATCTCCAGAGGCAAGCGACACATGTAGGTGCAGTTAGGAAATACAACGGAGTAGCCTACACCACCAGCAGACTTAGACCCACCTGTGAAGACAGAGATTGAGCTGGAGTGTGAAGAAAAGTGAGCAAGAAAAAAGCGTTTCAGAACTGAACGAGGGGTAAAAGCTTTCCGTCATGCGGGTCAAGGTCTACAAAATTTATGAAGAGGGACCCTCGATGGGGAGGCAAGGATGGAACGCCACGAGGAGAAATATTGATAACATGAACCGAGGGAGAACCTTGCAAGCGAGACAACCGGCCAGAAAAAGGAATGTGGTGAAAAGGAACAGGGCCCATAGGAGGGGTAATAGTCAGAGCACGACATAAGCGAGAGTGAGGGTGTTGTAGGGACCACGCAAAGTAGCGAAGACAGTAGCTATGGGGAGAAATGGGGTGACCAAGGCAAACGAGTGTTAAAAATTAACCCCAGAAGTTTAACATAATCCTTATTCAAAAAATAATTTCCATAAAACAACAGAGGGGGTTGAAGAACGACCTGCTTCCGAGTAATGGTCATAGCACAAATCTTAGCTATAGAGAACTTGAAGCCATGATTGGTGGGCCAGGATGACATTGTATCAATCGCAAGTTGTAGCCGCCGTTGAAGGAGAGGCAAGTCATCACCTTGGCAGCAAAGGGTAAAATCGTCAACATAAAGAGTGGAGAAAATGTCAGAGGGGAAGGAGGAAAGACCATTGAGGGCAACCAGGAAAAAGAGCAGTGCTCAGAATACTACTTGGGGGCACACCTTCATATTGCTGAAAAGAGACCGAGAGAGCGGTACCACGCTGCACTCGAAAGGAACAACGAGAGAGGAAGCTCTGGTTGAAGAGAGGGAGAGTACCACAACGACCAAAGGAACGGAGTTGGGACAGAATATGGTATCTCCAGGAGGTGTCATACACCTTTTCCGTGTCAAAAAGGACAGCAACCACAGAGGTCTTCACAGGAAAGCCAGTATGAATATAGACCACCAAGTTCACGAGGACATCAGTCATGCTGCGACACTTGTGAAACCCAAATTGAGAAGGAGTGAAAAGGTGATAGCGGTTCAAGAACCACATCAGGCGGACATTGACCATACGTTAAAAGAGATTGCAGATGCAACTCGATACAGCAATGGGGCAGAAGTCTTTAGGGGATGACCCTAGAGAACCAGTTTTCCGAATAGGAAGAGCAACCTCCTCAAGCCAGTCCTCAGGGATTGACAACGACTCCCAGACACGGTTATAAATACAGAAAATACTGAAACGTGCATAGATAATGAAGCATCTCATAATGAATATGATCTGAGCCCGCCTTCGTAAAACCGCAGAGGACCAGAGCAGACTGGAGTTCTGAGAGAGAAAAAGGATCGTTATAAGGAAGCTGAAGATGAGTGCAAAACTCTAAGGGACAAGATTCAAGAAAGCTTACGAGTCAGGAAAGAAGGATGAAGATGAGGATCAGAGCCTACAGTCGAAAAGTGTGAACCTAATTCGGTTATAGCCGACACTGGATCTGCCACAATAGAATCATGGACGTGAAAGACTGGCAAGACATCTGGAACAAACTTACCCGCTATCTTGCGGATTTTCTTCCAGATCGGAGGTCAGAGTAGTGTAAGACTTAATGGTGGAAACGAAAGATCTCCAACCCTTACGCATAGCCGTATGGATGGCCCTACTGGCCACAGCTCTCGCCTTCCGAAACAAAATAAAAGAATCGGACGTCCGTCGGCGACGATGTTTCTTCTAGGCTGCACGCTTACAGCAGACAGCCCAAGCACAGTCTGTATTCTACCAGGGAACGCACTTCCGTGCGCCCTGGGAGGTAGAGCGAAAAATAGATCAGAGGGCAGCATCAGAAACAGCATCATGAAAGAGGAGAACGTTGGGAAGAGGCAGATTAATGATGTCGGAAAGAGTAGCGAGTACGGTGAAGAGGTTCCCGTTAGCCTTGGCTAACTGTCACCTAGGGAAACAGAGGGGAGGGTGAAAAGAGAAAGTGGTGACAAGGATGGGGAAATGGTCGCTGTTATGTAGGTCATCAAGAACCCACCAGGTGAAGTCCATAAAGAGAAAATAAGCAGAGAGAAAGATCAAGGCAGAAAGGGTGTGAGTGATATACCCACCTCCAGTGGGTATGCCAGAAAATCACCCAAAAGGGGTGATTTGCCGGGGCAGAGGTTCCGGTAAGAAGTCCAACAGATGTTTAAGATCAGGAAGAGAAAGTGAAACATTTAGGTGGGGGAGATAAATGAAACAGACAGTATACTATTTACTCACAAGAATACGGTCTGTAGAACACTGAATATCAACTGAATGGGGAGAGAAAAGAATATCATGATGGATCAAGAGAGTCGTATAGTTATAGGCCCCAGCAAAAGTGACCGGCTTCAGGGACCGGCTTCGCTACTCTGGGACCGTCTTCGCTATTCAGGGACCGGCTTCGCTACTCTGGGACCGTCTTCGCTACTCAGGGACCGTCTTCGCTTCTCAGGGACCGTCTTCGCTACTCTGGGACCGTCTTCGCTACTCTGGGACCGTCTTCGCTACTCTGGGACCGTCTTCGCTACTCAGGGACCGTCTTCGCTACTCAGGGACCGTCTTCACTACTCAGGGACCGTCTTCGCTACTCTGGGACCATCTTCCCTACTTTGGACCGTCTTCCCTACTCTGGGACCGTCTTCCCTACTCTGGGACCGTCTTCCCTACTCTGGGACCGTCTTCCCTACTCTGGGACCGTCTTCCCTACTCTGGGACCGTCTTCCCTACTCTGGGACCGTCTTCCCTACTCTGGGACCATCTTCCCTACTCTGGGACCATCTTCCCTACTCTGGGACCATCTTCCCTACTCTGGGACCGTCTTCCCTACTCTGGGACCATCTTCCCTACTCTGGGACCATCTTCCCTACTCTGGGACCATCTTCCCTACTCTGGGACCATCTTCCCTACTCTGGGACCATCTTCCCTACTCTGGGACCGTCTTCCCTACTCTGGGACCATCTTCCCTACTCTGGGACCATCTTCCCTACTCTGGGACCATCTTCCCTACTCTGGGACATCTTCCCTACTCTGGGACCATCTTCCCTACTCTGGGACCATCTTCCCTACTCTGGGACCATCTTCCCTACTCTGGGACCGTCTTCGCTACTCTGGGGCCATCTTCCCTACTCTGGGACCATCTTCCCTACTCTGGGACCATCTTCCCTACTCTGGGACCATCTTCCCTACTCTGGGACCATCTTCCCTACTCTGGGACCATTTTCCCTACTCTGGGACCATCTTCCCTACTCTGGGACCATCTTCCCTACTCTGGGACCATCTTCCCTACTCTGGGACCATCTTCCCTACTCTGGGACATCTTCCCTACTCTGGGACCATCTTCCCTACTCTGGGACCATCTTCCCTACTCTGGGACCATCTTCCCTACTCTGGGACATCTTCCCTACTCTGGGACCATCTTCCCTACTCTGGGACCATCTTCCCTACTCTGGGACCATCTTCCCTACTCTGGGACCGTCTTCGCTACTCTGGGGCCATCTTCCCTACTCTGGGACCATCTTCCCTACTCTGGGACCATCTTCCCTACTCTGGGACCATCTTCCCTACTCTGGGACCATCTTCCCTACTCTGGGACCATTTTCCCTACTCTGGGACCATCTTCCCTACTCTGGGACCATCTTCCCTACTCTGGGACCATTTTCCCTACTCTGGGACCATCTTCCCTACTCTGGGACCATCTTCCCTACTCTGGGACCATCTTCCCTACTCTGGGACCATCTTCCCTACTCTGGGACCGTCTTCCCTACTCTGGGACCATCTTCCCTACTCTGGGACCATCTTCCCTACTCTGGGACCATCTTCCCTACTCTGGGACCATCTTCCCTACTCTGGGACCATCTTCCCTACTCTGGGACCATTTTCCCTACTCTGGGACCATCTTCCCTACTCTGGGACCATCTTCCCTACTCTGGGACCATTTTCCCTACTCTGGGACCATCTTCCCTACTCTGGGACCATCTTCCCTACTCTGGGACCATCTTCCCTACTCTGGGACCATCTTCCCTCCTCTGGGACCGTCTCACCTGTTCTGGAACTCCATAAGCTCATTGTTGATCTCTTCTATGTTAACCTCGCCCCAGGGGATGTCGTAATAGGAGGTCACGCGGTCAATGACGTCGTTGTAGAGCTTGTAGAGCTTCTGGAGAAGGTTGAGCTCCTTGCGGATCTGGCCCAGCTCAGGGAACTCTGAGCGAGGTAAGCGGAAGAGTTCCTCCCCCACTGAGTAGCTCGAGTGCTTCCGCCACAGTGTGTCGAACCGGTTCTGTTGGTACGAAAACTACATGATGTTCTTGTCTCGATACCTCGAGCAACTTGATACATGCCATGATACCACACGCATCATGATACATGCCTTGATACCACAAGCATCATGATACATGCCATGATACCATAAGCATCATGATACATGCCATGATACCACACGCATCATGATACATGCCATGATACCACACGCATCATGATACATGGCATGATACCACACGCATCATGATACATGGCATGATACCACACGCATCATGATACATGGCATGATACCACACGCATCATGATACATGGCATGATACCACACGCATCATGATACATGCCATGATACCACACTCATCATGATACATGCCTTGATACCACACACATCATGATACATGCCATGATACCACACACATCATGATACATGACATGGTTCAACACACAGGTTCATGTGAACAGTTTTGTGACATTCATACCTATACATAAGACTTTAGAAGGAACTCAACATTTAGTAATTGTATTTGGCAATGTATATGATCACAACACATATCATGACTCAGGAGGAGTTCTCGTGTGGGTTTCACATCATCAAGAAGACAGTTACTCAAGCCAGGAACACGAACACCACATCCAGCTGTTTGTATCTGATGCGGGATGAGGGGTGAGTGTTGGTATCTGAGGCAGGATAAAGGGTGAGTGTTGGTATCTGAGGCAGGATGAAGGGTGAGTGTTGGTATCTGAGGCAGGATGAGGGGTGAGTGTTGGTATCTGAGGCAGGATGAAGGGTGAGTGTTGGTATCAGACGCAGGATGAGGGGTGAGTGTTGGTATCAGACTCAGGATGAGGGGTGAGTGTTGGTATCAGACTCAGGATGAGGGGTGAGTGTTGGTATCAGACGCAAGATGAGAGGTGAGTGATGGTCTCTGATGCAGGATGAGGGATGAGTGTTGGTATCTGACGCAGGATGAGGAGTGGTATACGACGAAGGGTACATGATGATATGTGACCCAAGGCAAGTGGAGGCACATGACGCAGAATGAGTGTGGTTGCATGACGCAGAATGAGTGTGGTTGCATGACGCAGTGTGTTGCATAAGTGGTTGTCTTTGGCGTAGAATGAATGGTGGTATTTGATGCAGGATGAATGTTATGTGATTCAGAATACGTGGCTTGTGAGACGCAGGATTCTTGGTGTTGTATGATGCCTATGTGATGGTATATGGCGCTGGATAAGTGATGGTGTATGATGCTGGATGAGTGATGGTGTATGACGCTGGATAAGTGATGGTGTATGATGCTGGATGAGTGATGTTGTATGACGCTGGATGAGTGAATGTGTATGACACAGGACGAGTAATGGTGAATGGCACTGTATGAATGATGTTGTATGACACTGGATGACTGATGTTAGAAATATATCTAACAATAGTTTATTATTGTTATAAGATTATTATATGGACTGTATGAAAAAAATTGTATAAGTGGACTGTAATAAGATTTAATGACTAGTCGGATGTTTCCACTTCCACAAAATTTTGGGGGTAGATTTGATAATGATAAATCCACCTTGTAAATTAAATATTTCTAAATAATATCAAAAGTAAAATTTTGTAAAATAAAATTTGTTGTGAAGTTAGTGAACTAACTACAATATCATAAGTAAAGTTTAGTATGGCTTAGCTGTCACGCTCTTTATTAGAAGTGCGTCTGACAGTCTCCCGAAATCAGTCAGTTCCTAGTCTCAACGTGATGGCATCGTCGACATATGATGCACCAGTTGAGTCGACAAGCTCCCATTGGTGTCCCTCCTTGCTGTGGAGAATATACAATGCAATTCCATACAGTCTCCGTGGTGTAGTGGTAAGACACTCGCCTGGCGTTCCGCGAGCGCTATGTCATGGGTTCGTATCCTGGCCGGGGAGGATTTACTGGGCACAATTCCTTAACTGTAGCCTCTGTTTAACGCAACAGTAAAATGTGTACTTGGATGAAAAAACGATTCTTCGCGGCAGGGGATCGTATTCCAGGGACCATAGGATTAAGGACTTGCCCGAAACGCTACGCGTACTAGTGGCTGTACAAGAATGTAACAACTCTTGTATATATCTCTATCTATCTATCTATCTATCTATAAAGGTAAAGTAATTTCAGCTAATCCTCATAAAAGGGATTACTATTTAAAGGAATTAAACTTATTCCGGTTATTTTGGTGTCCTAACGTCCGGGCAATCTAAAAGGTTAATATGACCATAACAAAAAATATAGATAGTCAATTTACTGACCGGACGCAACGTCCCTTTGTTGGATGAAGCAAGCAGCAACGCCTGGGGAGTCGTAAGTGTACGGATGATTTCAAAACAATGCGATGCAAATTTGCAGGGTTCACAGGGATGTTGCTGTTATCTGTCTCGGAGAGCAAGGGTTTCGCGCGCCCTCTACCTCCTCTTCGGCGCATGGCCCCGGAATATAAGTCACAGTATTCTAGGTTGTCCTATTATCTAACAAGACATTATCAACGTCGTTTTACTTCTTAAAAATACACTTCAGATATCAGCAGACAATCTTCCACTGTTTATGTTATTGGACCGAAGTGTCAGTGGTTGAAAAACACATATACGTAAATGATATAAGTGACTTGACTTTTATATCAACCAGGAATCAGCTGATCCCGGTTGTTCAAATTTCCACCTTGAGATGGAGGTGTAATTTGATTAGGTGAATGAAATCAATTTCCAATCTAAATTACAAAGCAAATTAAGCAGAGGTTAGACTGGGTTTAATTAGATTTGAATATAGAGTTTGTTCTCACTGGAGCTGGGGTGGCTGACGCAAAAACAGGCATGGATGGTAGGAAACTTTTGGCGACCCTGTGCTTTGAGTTAGGAAATTAAATCTACTAATATTACCAACACAATATTTATATCTTATCGTGCTAGGGGTTAGTATTTGGGGTGTCGGAAATTTCCGACAAGTGATAGTGTATGACGCTTAATGAGTAAATGTGTATGATGCTGGATGAGTGATGGTCTATGACGCTGGATGAGTGATGGTCTATGACGCTGGATGAGTGATGGTCTATGACGCTGGATGAGTGATGGTATATGACGCTGGATGAGTAAATGTGTATGACACATTCAGTATGATCACTTTCAGAATGTGTATGAGGGGATCATACACATTTTGAATGTGTATGATCCCCTCTTAATCATGTGTATGACACATTCAAGTGTTGTCAACGTTGCAAATGTTGCAAGTGCTGTCAATGTTGCAAGTGTTGTCAATGTTGCAAACGTTGTCAATGTTGCAAGTGAGTTTCCCTATTCTCGTGTTCTTGATTCCCTCTTATTATTAGATTACTGTAAGAATTAATAGTCATATTCCAGTCAATGTAATATTAGTATAACTTTCTTAATGTTTAATTATTTTAATATCATTGAAGTATTAGTGGTTTTAATACTAGTTGATTCTTTTATGATTTTTACTTCATAATTATAATTTTTTCCTGCATCATTATTTGAATTGAGGATTTATAAGGGATATATGGTTTTATTAATTATTATCCTGTTACAAAACATTGTCTTGTGGTCTGAAAGTATTAAGCCTAAACCACACACCAGAAGATGAGGAGAGGACGACGTTTTGGTCCCTCCTGGACCATTATCAAGTCGACTGTCATTATCACAATCGACTTGATAACGGTCCAAGAGGGACCGAAACATCTCATCTTGTGGTGTGTGGTTTAGTCTTAATGTCATCAGCCCCGTTATTGTGATTCATCGTCTGCAAATTATTATGACAGAATTAGTGATATATTTTTACTCGAATTTTTTTGTCTTTACTTTTTATTCCTGAAACGATGTGCTTAATAGTGGCTTTATGCAGAGTATATACTTCGCTCTATCTAGAAATCCTAAATTCTTCTAGTAACTTGTTTGGTATATATGTACTTTTCCCTATATAAACATTATCATCATCATTTTCATTTCAGTGAAAGCTGCTGACAGAAATTAAATATTAATCCCTAAGTCAATTATTAAGTCATTCATTAAGTGTAGTGATCAAATTGATCAATTACTTGTGTTGAATCGCTACAATATATTATATTGTTTGTATTTGGCGGTTTAGATGGAGTTAATTTATCAATCATTTAGAATATGACAAGGTACAGCCGGCGATACAAGATATCTGAGGGGAGAAGGGTAAGGTACAGCCGGCGATACAAGATATCTGAGGGGAGAAGGGTAAGGTACAGCCGGCGATATAAGATATCTGAGGGGAGAATGGTAAGGTACAGCAGGAGATACAAGATATCTGAGGGGTGAATGGTAAGGTACAGCCGGCGATACAAGATATCTGAGGGGAGAAGGGTATGGTACAGCCGGCGATACAAGATATCTGAGGGGAGAAGGGTATGGTACAGCAGGCGATACAAGATATCTGAGGGGTGAATGGTAAGGTACAGTAGGAGATAAAAGATATCTGAGGGGAGAAGGTAAGGTACAGCCGGCGATACAAGATAACTGAGGGGAGAAGGGTAAGGTACAGCAGGCGATAAAAGATATCTGAGGGGAGAAGGGTAAGGTACAGCAGGAGATACAAGATATCTGAAGGGAGAAGGGTAAGGTACAGCAGGCGATACAAGATATCTGAGGGGAGAAGGGTAAGGTACAGCCGGCGATACAAGATATCTGAGGGGAGAAGGGTAAGGTACAGCCGGCGATACAAGATAACTGAGGGGAGAAGGGTATGGTACAGCAGGCGATACAAGATATCTGAGGGGAGAAGGGTAAGGTACAGCAGGAGATACAAGATATCTGAGGGGTGAAGGGTAAGGTACAGCAGGAGATACAAGATATCTGAGGGGAGAAGGGTAAGGTACAGCAGGAGATACAAGATATCTGAGGGGAGAAGGGTATTTAAAGATCATGGTTAAGTGGCTTTCTGGGACTGTATGTTTGTATAACAATCTAGGATTGTATTCTCACTCCCAGCATCCAGTCCTAGAATGTATTATGGAAGTGAAAAAGACATACTGACAGACCCGGACAACGCCGGTTAGCCCCCCTAGTATTAAGTAAGAGGAGTAGAGTGGTAGAGGAGAAGGCCGAGCACAGACCCGGGCACCGCCGGGAAGGGGGGGGGGGGAGAGAAGGCCGAGCACAAACCCGGGCACCGCCGGGAGGGAGGAGAAGGCCGAGCACAGACCTGAGCACCGCCGGGAGGGAGGAGAAGGCCGAGCACAGACCTGAGCAAGGATGAGCCGGTCGGAGGCGTCGCGGGGGTGGAGGCCGGCCACCATGGGGCCTGAGGCTCGGTAGTCGTGGACGAACTTGTTGCAGTCCTTCTTGAACTGCGCCACGTTGTGGATCAGCTCGTTCCTGTTGACACGTCTTTACTGAGCTGCTGTGACAACCTCCCTGGCAAGGTGCTGTGACAAGCTCCCTGGCAAGGTGCTGTGTCAAGCTCACTGCCAAGGTGCTGTGGCAAGCTCCCTGACAAGGTGCTGTGGCAAGCTCCCTGACAAGGTGCTGTGACAAGATCCCTGGCAAGGTGCTGTGACAAGATCCCTGGCAAGGTGCTGTGTCAAGCTCCCTGGCAAGGTGCTGTGGCAAGCTCCCTGGCAAGGTGCTGTGACAAGATCCCTGGCAAGGTGCTGTGACAAGATCCCTGGCAAGGTGCTGTGTCAAGCTCCCTGGCAAGGTGCTGTGGCAAGCTCCCTGGCAAGGTGCTGTCTCAAGATCCCTGGCCAGGTGCTGTGTCAAGCTCCCTGGCAAGGTGCTGTGACAAGCTCCCTGGCAAGGTGCTGTGACAAGATCCCTGGCAAGGTGCTGTGACAAGATCCCTGGCAAGGTGCTGTCTCAAGCTACCTGGCAAGGTGCTGTGGCAAGCTCCCTGGCAAGGTGCTGTGACAAGCTCCCTAGCAAGGTGCTGCGGTAAGCTCCCTGGCAACTCTACCTCCTCATTCTTCCTGTCTCTTCACTCTCATTACAATTAACTTTTATAAAATATTGACTTAAATGTTAGTAAATGTTGCAAAATATTATCCACATGTTGCAAAAGGCAGCACTACAAAACACTAATCACATTAAACAGTGATGGTACATAATTATTCAGAATCTTAGCTCAGCAACTAAAAGTACATGTAATATATTAAGTAATAATTGCTTGTATAGTTAATCTACAGGCGGAGTTAGTGCAGCAGACTGGACCCGACCTCCATACACGGCCAATGGTAGACGTCTGGGCATTTTCCATGCACCTGATGTGCTTATTCACCAACCAGTAAATAGGTACCCGGGAGTTGGGAGACTACAATGTGCCCAATCATGGGGAAGGTCAGAGGTCAGCGTGGGGGGGGGGGACCCATGTGACCCTCACACACTTCCGCTCCTCCACAATTGAAAATCAAGTTATGAATAGTGTCAACTAAAGCATTTAAGAAAATGTAATGAAACATTTCATACTTAAATTAGGGCGAGGAACTGGAACTGGTTAAATTCTTCAGTGAACGGTTTTGTAACACGCGGCCCTGACGATGTTACTCCCAGAGCCCCAGTTACTGTGGCATGACCAGGAGAACAGTGATGGAACACTGGCCGTCTTCCCACCGTGCTCACAGGAGAACAGTGAGGGTGAGCGCCCCACCGTGCTCACAAGAGAACAGCAAGAGTGAGCGTCCCACCGTGCTCACAGGAGAACAGTGAGGTTGAGCGCCCCACCGTGCTCACAGGAGAACAGTGAGGTTGAGCGTCCCACCGTGCTCACAGGAGAACAGTGAGGGTGAGCGCCCCACCTTGCTCACAAGAGAACAGTAAGAGTGAGCGTCCCACCGTGCTCACAGGAGAACAGTGAGGTTGAGCGTCCCACCGTGCTCACAGGAGAACAGTGAGGGTGAGCGGCCCACCGTGCTCACCGGAGAACAGTAAGAGTGAGCGTCCCACCGTGCTCACAGGAGAACAGTGAGGTTGAGCGCCCCACCGTGCTCACAACAGGAACACGGGCCGTCTGTTAGGCCTGGGGAGCGGGCGAGGCATAAACCCATGTAAATAAGAGCGGCAGGAGCATGACGTACCTGAAGTAGGGTTGTACTCGAGACAGGAGGTTCTGGACCTCGACGGCCTGCGCCAGCACCTTCTGCCAGGTGAAGCGCAGGTTGTCCACTCTCTCGGCCTCCTCCTGCGTCAGGCCCAGCTCGTACTTCACAAGCAGGCCGAAGGACTCCTGTGCGTACAGAGCAATGGTAGTAGGTCACATCAAAGGTCACGTATCTTAAAACAATAACAGTAAACTCACCGATGTTTCCAATCTTATTCATGTTAAGTTCCGACGTCCAACAACTTCTCCACTGTATCCCCCAATAACATTCACCACATGAAGAATATCCTACACGCTAACACTGATTCTACTAATGATATCATTCATGCTCTGCCTTGCTAATATTAAATCCACTTTGGGCTCACCATAGCCCATGCTACTTGCAACTGTTTATTCCCAGTAGCTGAATCTTAAACAACAACATCTTGGATATCTCATATTTTAGAAATACATAAATATTTAATGCAGTCTATGACATTTGGCAGCTGAGTATAGCATTAAAAGCTGACTTGTGTGTCAGTCATACGAGGGAAGAGAATCTGGCAACACTTTCTCATGTCATTCAAGATTTATGGATTTAACATCTATTGAACATTTCTTAAAATTTATTTGTTCGAACTATTCAAAAGTAAGTAAGTAATTATGAAGAGAAGATACCAAACCAGAAAGGCTATGTAGCACCACCAAATGTGCTGAATAATCAGAGGGCGCTATATATCACTAAGGGTGCCAATACGAGAACAGAAACATATAATGCAAACGATATTAAAAGTATCCGATTCACCAAGAATTCTATCAAGGGACCAGCGACTTCGAGGGACGGTCAGAAAGCAAGACACGCTCGTCCTGGAAGTCAGGACATTCAACAAGGATATGCACAACCGTAAGAGGGACAATGCAATTTGAACAATAAGGAGCAGGGCGGCACTCCATTAAGTGACTGTGAGTTAAGCGTATATGTCCAATACAAAATCTTGCCAGAGCTGTTTCCCATCGTCGGTTACAGTGATCGGAGGAAGGTCATGAGGACACACTACTCTTAAGAGTAGGCAGTTTGTTATCAGTAACAGAAGACCAACAATACTGCCAATGGGCAAGGATGGAGGAATGAATAACCTGGTAAAAGTCGGAATAAGGAATACCTTTACAGGAGATGGGACAAGAGTGGACAGCTTCCTTAGCAGCAGCGACCGCACACTCATTTAAAGAGGCACCAATATGGGTGGGAATCCAGCAAAACTCAATCGACTTAAATATACTGGAAATAAGAAACAACCAATGTCGAATCTCGACGACCACTGGATGGACCAGATTAAAGGACCCGAGAACCATGAGGGCACTACGAGAGTTAACGACAACCACAAAGGAAAATTGACAACGAAAAAGTAGGAGACGAAGAGCATAGAGAGTAGCATAAAGTTCTGCTGTGAAGATGCTAGTCTCTGGAGGTAGGCAACACATAAGTGCGGTCAGGAAAAACAACAGAGTAGCCTACACCGTCTGCAGACTTAGACTCATCGGTGAAGATGGAAATGCAGCAGGAGTGAGAAGAAAAGTGCTCAAGGAAAAGGCGTTTCAGAACTGTAGGAGGGGTAAAAGCTTTAGTGATGTGGGTCAAGTATGTACAAAACTTCAGAAGGGGGACTCTCCATGGAGGGCAAGGAAGGATCAATACGCAGAAAAATATTAGAGATACAAACTGAAAGAGACTCTTGCAAGTGAGATAACCGGACAGAAAGAGAGAGGTGGTGAAGAGGAACAGGAACTAAAGGAATGGTAAAAGTTAAAGCACGACAGAGGCGAGAGGAAGGATGTTGCAAGGACCGCGCAAGATAGCGAAGACAGTAGCGGTCACGGAGGTATTGGAGAGACAGGAAGCCAGTGTCAACATACAAGCTGAGGGCGGGAGTCAAATGAAAGGCACCAGAGCTGAGGCACAACCCAGTATGGTGCAAAGCATCAAGACGGTGAAGAGTAGAAGGAGAAGCAGACGAGTAGCAGAACAATCATAATCGAGTTTAGACAGGACAAAAGAGGAATATAAAGAGAGTAGAGTGCGCCTATCTGTTCCCCTAAGAAGTATGGGACAAACCCTTAAGGAGGGTAAGGGCCTTAGAGCATTCTACTCGGAGGTAAGAGATATGGGGTGACCAAGACAACGAGTGTCAAAGATTAACCCCAAAAGCTTAGCGGAATCCTTTACACAAGGGGATGACCATAAGGTGACAAAGAGGGACGAAGAACGACATGCTTCAGACTTAAGGTCATTGCACAAGTCTTAGATGTAGAGAACCTGAAGCCATGATCGGTGGCCCAAGAAGACACGGCATCAATCGCAAGTTGAAGCCGCCGATGAAGGAGAGGCGAATCATCACCCCGACAGCAAAGGATAAGATCATCGACATAGAAAGTGGAGAAGAAGCCAGAAGGAAGAAAGGAAAGAAGACCATTGAGGGCAACCAGAAAAAGAGTAGTGCTCAGAACACTACCTTGGGGCACATCCTCGTATTGCTGAAAAGAGGCAGAGAGAGTGGCACCAAGCCTCACTCGAAAGGAACGACGAGAGAGGAAGCTTTGGAGAAAGATAGGGAGATTACTACGAAGGCCAAAAGAATGAAGTTGGGACAGAATATGATATCGCCAGGGGGTGTTGTAAGCCTTTCCCAGGTCAAAAAGGAGGGCAAACAACGGAGGTCTTTGCAGCAAAAGCAGTACGAATATAGACCTCCAAGTTCACTAGAACATCTGTTGTGCTGCGGCACTTGCAAAAACAAAATTGAGAAAAGGAGAAGTGGTAATAGTGTTCTAAGAACCACATCAGACGAACGTTAACCATACGTTCAAAGAGTTTGCAGACACAACTCGTGAGGTCAATAGGGCAGAAGTCCTTAGGGGATGTTCCCAGTGACCCTGGTTTCTGAACAGGGAGGACAACGGCATCGAGCCAGTCCTCAGGGACTGACGACGACTCCCAGACCCGATTGTACAGACTCAATAAATACTGAGACGTGCACGGAGGGAGAAGGTGAAGCATCTCATAATGAATACCATCGGAGCCCGCCGCCATAGAACCGCAGAGGGCCAGGGCAGACTGAAGTACAGAGAGAGAGAGAAAGGATCGTTATAGGGAAGCCTGAGATGGGTGCAGAAATCTAAAGGATGAGAGTCAAGAACAGGTTTACGAAGAAGGAAAGATTGAGGAAGATGAAAACCAGAGCTAAAAGAAGAAAAGTGGGAACCCAGTTCAGTCGCGACCTGCAACGGGTCTGCCACAAGAGTACCACGGAGGTGAAGAACCGGCGAGACATCAAGAATAAACTTACCTGCTATCTTGCGGATGCCCTCCAGATCTGCGGCATAGGAGTTTTGGACGTAATGGTGGAAACATAAGACTTCCACAACTCACGCTTAGCTGTATGGATGGCCCTATGGGCCACCCCACTCGCCTTCTGAAGCAAAAGAAAAGAATCTGCCGTCTGCCAGCGGCGGTGTCTCTTCCAGGATGCACAATTACAGCGGGCAGCCCGAGCACAGTCCTCATTCTACCAGGGAACGCACTTCCGTGGTCCCCGAGAGGAAGAGCAAGGAACAGAGTGGAGGGTCAGCATCGAAGATGGTGTCATGAAAAATGAGGAGGGTGCGAGGGAGAGGCAGAATGGAGAGGTCGGAGAGAGCACCACGGAGGGTAAATAGGTTCCAGTCTGCCTTGGCAAACTGCCACCTAGGGAAGGAGAGGGGAGGGTGAAAAGAGAAAAAGGTAACAAGGATGGGGAAATGGTCACTTCCATGGAGGTCATCAAGAACCCGCCACGTGGGTTCTTTGCTATCCAAGTAAAGAGACGACGAGCAGAGAAAAATATCAAGACAGGAAAGGGTGCGAGTTCAAGATTCCAAATGAGTGGGCTCATGATAATTCAGAAGAGACAGGGAAGAAGAGAGGATGAACAGTTAAAGAAGGCGACCCCTGGGTGTTTGTCGGAACATCCCCCCAGAGAGTATGTCGACAAATGAAATCACCCAGCAGGAACACAGGCTCTGGCAAGGAGTCCAATAGGTGTTTAAGATCGGGAAGAGAAAGTGGGACATTTGGGGGGAGATAAATGGAACAAACCGTGTACCATTTATGCACAAAGACACGTGCAACAGAACATTGGATAGGCGACAGAAAAAGTAGGGGGGACGAAGGGAATATCAGAATGAATCAAGAAAGCAGTAGGGTTAAGAGCCCCAGCAAAACCTTGGGGGGAGGGACGAGAAAGGAATAGCCACGGAAGCGACCAGGACGAGCAGCAAGCATCGGCTCCTGGAGATAGACACAAAGGGGAGAAAACTGTGAAATCAGAAGTTGGAGTTCATGGAAATTGGCATAATATCCACGAATATTCCATTGAAAAATAGACATCGACAAGACGAGAAAGAACAGCAACAGAGAACAATGAAGAAACAAAGGTGAAAAAAGGAACACAACATGTTAAAGAAGTGCAGGATCAGGATCAGGATCAGCAAAGTCAGGGTTAGGGGGCATGGGTAAACTGAGTAAGAATGGAGGGAAGGAACCGGGAGGACTGACTGGAGGTGGATGAGCAGAGTCCAGAGGAGGAGGAGGAAGGGACAACCGAGGGTTAAGGACAGCAGCAGGAGGAGGGGCAGAAACCGAGGAACACACCTCAGCAACCGAGAGAGAAGTGGGGGCCAAAGAAATCTCCATAGCAGGAACAGGGGGCGCGACCACCGAAATGGGAGGGGATGGAGCGAGAGAGTCAGAGTAGGGGGTGAGGAAGAAGGCCACCGGGGAGGAAGAAGGAGATGAGCAAGGCTTTTGATTCTGACTCGAAGAGACAGGCGTCCCAGCAACAACGTAATGGACAACAGACTCAAGCGTCTAAAGAGAGCAAACAACATGATGACCGCTGGGAGAGTGATGGACATCAGCCCGCACAGAGAGGCGGCGTCGAGAGCTAAGAGATGGAGGAGAAGGATGGGATAGAGGATCAGAGGGAGACGAGAAAGAAGACACAGGAGACATGACAGACTGGGTAGAAAGAAGGGGAACCCCAGAAGAGAACCAAGAGGGGGACCCTTCGGGACAGAACGTAAAAGAACAGAGGAGGAGGCGGTGGGCGTGTCTGGGTATAAGGCCTGGAAATGGTTGTGAGACTGAGGAAGGTGGGAAGGACGAGGAGAGGAAGAGCGCACCACATGAACATAAGAGAAGCCAATGAATAGCCATCCTGAGAAGGAGCAGCAATGACACGTGTACAGAGATGAGTGGATTTGAAAGTAGCAGAGGCATCCACTGAATCAACAAGGTGCCTATGGAGGAACAAATCGTCAGGAAGTGTAGAATCCACAGGGAGGAGATCAAAGTATTTGGCCCACGAAGCGGGACCAAAAAGAACTGGTACGCATCAGTACGGGATGGGATCATACGAGTGCGGCCGTGGCAGGGACGGCGTTGAAAACCTCTAGAGAGAGAGAGAGAGAGAGAGAGAGAGAGAGAGAGGGGGGTTAAAAGGCACAGTAGTCACAATGAGAGACTGAGCCATGCCAGGGGACGAGGTGGTCACCGCTGCGGGGCTCAATCCAACTACAGAAGAGGGAGGGGAGCCGAGGGGAGTAGTCAGGCGGGTCAAAGAAGGAGTGGGCTCTGTAGCCTCCACTGTCCAATACAGTGGGGGTTAAAGAGCCCGGTCTTCCAAAACAGTCCAACTCGGGGGCTTGGTCGCCCACTTCACGAGTCCGAAAAGATACAAGAGGAACATTATTCAACATAAAAATGAGAGGAAAGACTTTCAGTCACGAATGTGCCCCCACACCCACCACGGAACCACAATTGGAGGATAGGACACGCAACCAAGAGATATGTTGCCGGTCTTGCCGGGGCCCCCGAGGGGTGCATCGTAAGTATACTCCACACAAACGCCACCTTAAGAACTGTCAGTCCGTCGAGATCGGGTTCAGTGACGAAAGAAGGATTCACAATAAAAGCGTCCCCTAGCTCGAGACGTTGGATACCACAGTTCCTGTAGGTGAGAGAGTATGCCTCCTCAAACAACCTGGCGTCAAAACAAAAGAAGGCCAAAAGAATAAAGAAAACTGGCAAAAGGTCGGCGGGAAATGACAATGAGAAAGGAGAAGAGGGGGGTGGGAGAGAAAAACGAAACACAAGGAAAAGGAAAAACTATCCAGCAGAATTCGAGAAGACAGCAGCAGGAGAATAAGGTGCCAAAAGGACAGAGGACTGACCCATGGAGCATCACACTCCGGCAGCCACCCACTAAGCCCCTCCCTGACGACATTGGGCCGGATAGGGAGGGGGGGAACTAATTAAAAAACAGTAAAAAAATGCAAATTATTATATAATATTATTATTACTAGATTGCAACATATAACAACAGGTTTATTTGTTGCTATCTCCAACCTGCTCTCCTGTTGCCGTAATTCAACAACTGGATTATCTCTTATAGCTCGAACCTGTTCTCCTGTTGAAGATATCAGAGCTTCGGCTACAAACTGTTACAATGATTTCATTAGATTTTGTTCATTGCGTGAAATTAACTGGCATTAATCACTAATGCCATAGTAATTAATTACTATGGCATTAAATCATATTTTCTGCTTGTCAAAGTGGCATTAAGAATATATTAAAATCATTATGCTTTAGCAACTAACCTCTATTGGGTCGATGGCATCGTCCATGTCCAGCTCGAGGTCACGAGTCTTACGGAGAATGTCAATTGCTCCTTTGATATCGTCGAGGTCTTTGAGAGGCCGCTCCAGACGGCGGGAGAGCTCCGTCAGTTGGGCGAAGAGTCTCTCCATTTCCTTCATGTAGGTGGTCTTGAGAGCCTCCCCGTACTTGTTGACCCAGAGCGTCGCTTCCACTATGAGGGCTTTCTTCAGGTTGTCTGTGTGAGACACACATACATTCTTTCCCCTAACTAACTCATCCATTTACCCATAAATATATAATAACACTGGCTAACATTTTTTTTATGTTGACAAAGATTAATGCTTTTTAACTAATTTTTGGGCGCTCATTTTACAAATGAATTTCGATTTGCCTATCATATCAAATTTTCATTTTACAGTATCGTTCATTTTTCAAGTTTATGTTCAATGGCATTTTGCATTTATTGTATAGAATTCCCAGAATAGTTATGTAATGACTATCAAGAAAGTTATGGGATGACAAGTTATGTTATTTCGTTTATTGTTTATTGTTTATATACGTCAGGTTTATTAAAAACAATTGGTGTGACACTATATGATCCCAGATGAATGACGATTCTTTTTAAATGATTCTAAGAGGAGCCTAGAGTGTCTTAGTCTATAACTGAAATTCATGTGGTTCAGTTCCCATTGGTCCTTCTGTATATCTCAAAGAAGAATTTGGACACATCAAAAAAGTTCTCAAGTTACCCAAAAATTATGGCCATAACTGAATCATCTGTGGGAATCTTAAGATGGTTAAGTTTTGACTTGGTCAGCAAGAAAGATTCATGAAATATCGTCTTGTCCTCTCCAATACTTTGGAGATACTGCCCGTACACTAAATGACACGCATAAGGAACACGAAATAATTGTTAAGTCTGCAGACTCAAAAAATGCTCTCTTCTGTCATCTTAGGGATTCTAATCAACCTGCAGGCGATGAGTCACAATGACGTGGCTGAAGTATGTTGACCAGACCACACACTAGAAATTGAAGGGACGACGACGTTTCGGTCCGTCCTGGACCATTCTCAAGTCGATTGTGTACTGATTGGTCGTCTTCTAAAATAACCTTTCCTTCCTCTACTTATCACAGACGCCGTCTTGTCAAATCGGCTCTGATACAAAACTCACTCAACAGAAGCCTTAGTCCTGGCTTTGTTGCTGTTGACTCTTCCCTTTCACATTACATACTCAAATGCTCTAACCTTCCTGACAATGTGACTTGACTAATGCCTTCACCCCTTTTTATTTTTCTTACCCTCCTCTTATTCTTACCTTTCGCATTCTTCCTTCATCCCATTATTTCATTCATCACATTCGCACCTTTCATCCAATTCTTACCATTTCGCCTTACTATTACCTTCTAAGAATTACATTCTCTTACCTGCTCCTCACTTTACTTTCCTTATTTATTGTCCGTGGCTTCTTCTCCAATCCACCACGGGAGACATCTCCCGTCACGCAGGGTGCAGTTGTACCTCCACAGATCACCAGTATCAGCTCTTGATACTGGTGATAGCTCAAAAGGGCCACCACTTACGGGCTATTCATGCCCGTGCCACCTTATGGATGGCTTAATCTTCATCTTGGACATATTCATGGGAGACATCTCCCGTCACGCAGGGTGCAGTTGCGCCTCCACAGATCTCCAGTATCATCTATTGATACTGGTAATGGCTCAAAAAGGCCACCACTTACGGGCTATTCATGGCTGTGCTACCTCTTGGGGTGGCTTAATCCTCGTCAATCAATCAATCTTTCTCCTTATGGGCTATTCATGCCCATGCCCCCTCCTAGGTGGCTTAATCTTCACCAATCTCTCTTATCACACACAACTTTATAATGATCCAGGACGGATTGAAACGTTGTCGTTTCTTCATTATCTAGTGTGTGGTTTGGTCATTCATCATATCTTCAGCAACGTTATTGTGATTCATCGTCTGCATACGATTGGGCATAAAACGTCTGCCTTCCCTGGGACAGCAGACCTTCAGAAGTACATTTTATTGTTCTATGGGATTTTAATAGGGCCTCACTTAAAGTACATATTCAACAATGTATTGTCGAAGATGCCAACGAAAAAAATACTACATCTAATAATAATGATAATATTGATAGATAAAGGAAGCGTATGACTCAATGTGCGTATTGGAGTGAGGCTCACCTGTGTTGACCGCCAGCGCCCCCACCCGATAGCGACTGGGCTCGGCCTTGATCTGCTTGTCCATGTCGACGTAGCTCTTGAGCGTCTTATCGTAGTCCTGAAGCGTGGGGCTGCTGCTGATGAACTCCTTGATGGCCATCTCCTTGTCCACCCGCCACAGGTGGTGATACTTCTCCCAGGTGCTGAAGGTATTGTACAGCTCCTGTCGTGGCACAACCATACTTAATATTTCACCCGGTCGATCTTTCTATATTGTAATCACACTGACAAGTGCACACTTCACCTTTACATGACAAGTGCACACTGCACCTTTACACCTGCTGTCTTGTGTCTATGGCACACTTCCCTCGTGTTTACAACTCAAGTTTATGCAACAAAATATATATATTATGCAAAAAATCCATGCCAAAATTATAATGTAAAATACATGAATTTTGTGTTTGGATCAAAAATCAAGTAACTTAAACCAAATTTACATTATCTAAAATAAAATAAATAATTTCTAAAACAAAATATAATTTTTTTGTAAACAAAGTAAATATTATTTTAAGCAAATTAAATATTATTTGAAACCAAATAAATATTTTAAAGAAAAATATCATTTCAAACACTAAATGTTACTTAAAACATAATATTTTTAACAAGTTAAATAGTTTTTAACAAATTAAATATTTAATTTAAAATAATATTTAAAATTTTATTATTTTAATTATAATAAATATTATTTTTAAGAAAATAAATATTACTTTAGGAAACAAATATTATTGTGAGCTTGTTACTGTGTGATTATTGATGCCTTTTACTCATTAAGTATGAAAGTCTGAGAGCCAGTTATTCATTAAATATGTAAGTCTGTGACCTGTTACTCATTAAATATGTAAGTCTGTGGCCTTATACTCATTAAATATGAAAGTCTGAGAGCCAGTTACTCATTAAATATGTAAGTCTGTGACCTGTTACTCATTAAATATGTAAGTCTGTGGCCTGTTACTCATTAAATATGTAAGTCTGTGGCCTGTTAAACATTAAATATGTACGTCTGTGAGCCTATTACTCATGAAATGTTAGGCTTGTTCGCACAGTGTATATATAAACTGAGGCACTAGGTACAATCACAGTGTATATATATAAACTGAGGCACTAGGTACAATCACAGTGTATATATATAAACTGAGGCACTAGGTACAATCTCAATCAATAATGGGCAAATTGACCAATGGGCAAATTTAGTCAACTTTGTGGCACTTTACCTGCTGCTGAGGATCATCTTGTGAATTATACAGTTGACGAGTCGTTTAATAAGACAGTGCAGGTTATTCCACAAAATTTTAAGATCCTTGTAGGTGTGGTTAACCTGAAATTTGATACCTCAACCCTACACAGGATGCTGACTTAAGGGAGTAGTGTGCTATTGCTTATATTGTGTTCCAGAAATGAAATTTGGATGTACGACATAATCTTATTAATGACTTCCATATTATATGTTAACTACATGTTTTGATGCCAATGACGAGCTTGTTATATTGCTTATGTTTATGTTGACTGACGTGAAGTTAATTGCATCTTGCTCTTTAAGTTAACAAAAATGAGAAAATTTTTTCATAACTACTCACATTTTTGGTGGACTGGAATGAGTTGGTCATATGGCCCATGACCTTGGACACGTCCTTGCTCTCGTAGACGTGAGTGTAGTAGTTCTTGGTCATGGCCGGCACCTCCAGCACTTCCTCCCGGACCTTCCACGTCCTCCGGCTGCCTGATGTTTGTTCACATTTTATCTCAGTTTCTCCAGTCTGCTCAAAATACAATTGTCAATTACACAATTACCTCAACAACTATTACAGCAGAAACACAAGGGTCAACTGGAGGGTGTCATGAAGATTACAAAAAACAATTATCACAAGTATTTTGTTGTTGAAAGTACATGGGTACTTTTGATATGATTAGGCCATCCAATACAGTATCTTGGTGTTTACTAATACCAGCATTAGCATTCGTACAGCTCTGTCAGCTGACGAATACATCAGCCGTTGAGCTCTGGGAGCCCTCGCCAATAAGAGGCCACCTTGAACTTTGACGTCATGGGAACCCTTTCAAACTCTGCCACTTGGCAGATGAATGTAGGAAGAGAACCTAGAATAGTTGGTAATGCTAAAATTGATGGCAGCTGTGGGATCTTGTAATTTTGGACAGGATTATCACTGAGAAAATGCTAGCCCCATATGGTTGTGAATCCGGCAATCATCATACCATGATCGCTACGAATCTGAAGCATTGTACGACACAAGGTCCCACATCACTCCCTAATCCTATAACGGGAAAACCATCACCAGCTCACTCATTAACAAATGCAACAAATTTATTGAGGTAGATAATCATTTTCCAGCCAAGTCAGTGACGTGCCTCATCACTGTTCAGAGCACCACACGATTCGTCGTCACCAGCCTAGAACTTTATATCATTCTGCGATCACCAACGTTAAGCACTCATTTAAGCAAAGTTAAGGGAGTGATGTGGGACTTCGTGTAATACGATGCTTCGGATTCGTAGTAATCATGGTATGACGATTGATGGATTTACAACCATACGGGGCTAGCATTTGCTAAATCAATTGGGAATCAACGAATTCCCTATGGCGGGGAGGAAACGTTGGGAGTAAAGTTAGTGGACGTTATCCGAGCCTATTAGACATGATTTTCACCCAGAACGTAGTCTGTGAACATCGAGAATTTGGAATATGAAATTCTACTAGGAGCTAGTGACCATTGTGTCCTAGTCTTTGACTACATGATGGAACTTAAAGTTGTGACCACGAGACAAGAGGTCTGGGAAAGGAGAGTTGACTACAGGAAAGGGGATTACAGAAGGATAAGGGAATATCTAGGAGAAGTGCAGTGGGAGGAAGAACGTAGAGGGAAAAACAGTCCAAGATATGATGGACCTAGTCATATTGAAATGCAAGGAGGCCGAAGAGAGTTTTATACCAACAATAAAGGAAAAAAAATCAGAGGGGAATACAATAACACCAGGTTTAATAAACAGTGTCGGAAAGGACATATTTAACCGCCATTAAATTCCCCACTTAATATTGGGAATCATTCTAAAAACCGCAGTCTTTGGACTGTAGAGAACATAAAAACATTTCCATTGAATAAACTTAATTATCAGTACTAAAATAGATTAAATGTAGGTTCTCTCTCCACTTCTTGACGACATCTGGACAAAACGCTTGATGAGTCAGTGGGAGGGAGGCCAGTCTGGACAAAACGCTTGATGAGTCAGTGGGAGGGAGGCCAGTCTGGACAAAACGCTTGATGAGTCAGTGGGAGGGAGGCCAGTCTGGACAAAACGCTTGATGAGTCAGTGGGAGGGAGGCCAGTCTGGACAAAACGCTTGATGAGTCAGTGGGAGGGAGGCCAGTCTGGACAAAACGCTTGATGAGTCAGTGGGAGGGAGGCCAGTCTGGACAAAACGCTTGATGAGTCAGTGGGAGGGAGGCCAGTCAGTAGTCGCCATTGTAAATGTAACAACAAAAGACTCACATGGAGCTCACTTCAAGCTCCACTCAAAAGTGCCCTTGGACGTAGTATTAAGGCGTTCAATGAGCTCTAAATTATCAACACATTCATCGTCTACAATAAGAGAAGTGTCTTTCCCGATTCCCATTCTATCTAGATTATTATTGGCCAGTAATATTAGATTTAGGAAAATCTGGTTAGGACACGAGACGAGCCACTCAACAGAGTAATCATTATTTAAATTTTATAACGCAAATTATATATTTCCCCTGACAAAGCTGTCATATTAGGTTCCTACTTTCATTGTGAGTGTCTTGACAGGTGAAATTGAATGGGAAGAAGAAATAATAATTACCTAGCAACTAGTACAGGTGAAGTGAGCCTCACCCACAAGAGGAGTACTGACTGGTGTGTTTCATCCGTGTTCATACCTGGCTGTCTTGGCTAGTCATCCATTCAGTTAAACTATATTTAATTTTTGTTACTAATATATGTAGTCTAATATTGTAGTGAATGTCTACTAATGAATAATTTGGATTCATTGACTATATATATAACCACAAACCCCCAGAATATGTAGAAAGCGATTTATGGGATTTTAAATCATACAGTCCACTTTAAACATCATACAGTCTGCTATTGAAATAAATAAATTAACGTAAAAATAAATCACTATAAATTACTATATAAGTTAATATAAATTAACATTCATTAATATAAATTGCAATATATATATATATATATATATATATATATATATATATATATATATATATATATATATATATATATATATATATATATATATATATATATATATATATATATATATATATATATATATATATATATATATATATATATATATATATATATATATATATATATATATATATATCAAAAGTCCGTTTTCGCTACATTAGTGTTCCTTACCGAACCAGATGAACCAGAGTTAGCCAGTGGTTCATTAAATCTAGAAATGCACTGGTTCTCAGATCCAATCAGTGGTCCTTAGAACCTAGATGGATCCTTAATGATCGTACAATTCTGGATCATTGTTGGCCCATCAAATTAGATAAACTAGTGCAATTCATCAGTGAACAATATAAAAAAAATTATCCTCAAAATCCGTGATGTTTAATATCACAAAAGGTCAGTAATACCAGACTTAATAATTCTTCATAATACTAGGAGTTAGTAAGAGGCTAACAACACCAATTGTGTATATAATTTCTCATGAGTAGAGAGTTATTTAACACATTTATTGCACTAGTTTTCACTGCACAATTTAACTAAATGCTAACCCACTACAGGGTAGGATATATTATAACATTGACTATTGTTTATTGATAACCTATTCCCATATTAACAGTGACTGTTGTTGAACTAAATAATGTTTACCTAGTCCCATTTATTTTTCCATAGTCTACTGTTGTATATATATTGAACAACCTAGCACCATTTATTAATAATGCAGGCCCTATTTTGAGTGTGATTTATACCAGTACGAGTTGTGATGTGTATTTATAATTGTTTACCTATAATCAGTGCACCTTTCAGTGTTAATTAGTATCTACACCAACCAGGGGGTGATTTTGAAAAGCTAACCTATAGGTACTTCCAGTGACACTTGATTACCACTCAAATTATTTTTGAGTGTGATTATATACTGTATATTATTATTAAGTGCTAACCTCCTAGGAGGTAGGATTATAGCCTAGTGACTGCCAAATTTGACTCTAAGCTACTACCATCAGTACTTGTTCAGCATTATGAGCAACCCAAGGACAAGCCCGACAAGGCTCAACCAGGTAGCCAGTTTGGATACTGCAGGAAAAATGAAAAAGACCCTTTTAGGTCTTAAAGGCCACGTAACCAAACAGATCAATATATGTGAAGATTTGCTACAACAATCTCCAGTTGATTATACTGACTTGGAAAGCTACTATTTAGCAGCTGGAAGTAAATTTGAGCAAGTCAAACGACAATAGAGAAACATGTGGCTGAACTTGCCAACACCAGTTTATCGGAAACAGAAATAGACGATGTTATACTTGATCTGGCGAACTGTGAGGATCACACTCAGGCCACATTATAGCCTTCCATCACAATAATTGCCCCGAACAAGGCAACATCAATAGTTACATCTAATCCGAGTCAAGCTGCAGCTCGAATCCCTCCAATTAATTTACCCACTTTCTCAGGAAAAGACAAGGAAGACTGGGACGAATTTTGGAACAAATTCGTAGTCCTTGTGGACGCAAAACTATCTTTATCTAAGAGCAGTAAATTCTCTTATCTACAATGCCTGTTATCAGGTAAAGCTAAATCAGTAGTATCCCATCTGATATTAACTAACGACGGGCTATGACCTCACAGTACAACTCCTCAAGGATAATTATGCTGATCCAGAAGTAAGAGCTTCACACTAAATTCATGAGCTGTTGCATTTACCTTCACCGGAGGCTTAAGCTGATTCACTCCAAGTCTATAAGCTGGAGGTAGAATCCATGATCAAGGCCCTCAGCCTAATTGCCAGTACAACTAAAGCTGAGTGAGTCTTGAAAATAATTGTCCAGGAGATAATATGTAGGGACATATTGAAACAAATGGATGATCACTACAATAAAAGTATTTAATAAATCTGAGGGTTTACATTCAGTAATTCATCAACTTCTTACACATGACAAATTAAAACCACCAAGTAAACCTTTAGAAACCAATAATAGTAAACCACAGAGTACAAAGGTTACACCAAATAAATTTAATCAATTTACACTAAATAAATTTAATCAATCTATTTCAACACCAAAGTGGAACCAAGGCAGTGTGGGCACATGTGCAGTGGGACCCTCAATGCCTATAGTTACTGTGTCACCCAAGACGGTGACTCCAAAGGATACTGTAAGCTATGCAACATGTTTGTTCTGCCAAGAGAAACATTCAATGTACCACTGCCCCAATTTTTCTGATTTTGACGCACGTGTTGAGCGACTCAAAGATTTGCAACATTGCACAAGGTGCCTCAGGAAACACAATCTCCTCGACGGTGAGATCCAATTACACTCCTGTAATAGGTGTAACAAGGGTCAGCACCATGCAGCATTGTGCGGAGATACCAAAATCACGTCTCTAAACCCCATGGTGGAAGATAACATTCCTACCACAGTACAGTACTGCAAGGTGCGACAGAAAATCAGTGTCTTATCAACAAAGAGCAAAAATACTGCGACTTTGCCCACTGCCCAACATTCTATCCAAGATAAGAGGGCCAAGGCACATACCCGTGGGTTGTTTGACCAAGGGTCCCAAAGAACTTTTGTTACTAAAAAGGTGGCAGATGATCTACAAATAAAGCCTGTAACCCAAATGACATTGAATATTTCAGGGTTCCTAGCTGATGCAGGACCTCAAGTCTACCAGGTGGTACCACCATCAGTACAATTTGGCAGCTATGTATGTCAAGTACCAGCCATTGTGGTGGACACAATTCCAATAGACCTACATGTACAAGGTCTGCGAGTTACTGTCAAATTCCTGAGAATTAGAGGAATAAAATTAGCAGATAAAATTAAGTCTGATCACCTCACTAACATCGAAATCCTTGTAGGTGCAGACTACTTTCACCAATTCATCACTAGCCCAACTAAATATCAGGGCATAAACATGTCAAATTCTGCATGAGGCAAATTACTTACAGGCCCAGTATTACGCCTGAAGTTATCTTGAGATGATTGATGATTGATATGATTGATTGAGGATGAGAACTGAGGAGGAGTTCTGAGGAGGATCTGAGGAGAACTGTGCCTGCAGACTAACAATACCCAAAAAAAACTAAATTTGTCAAATCTAAATTTGAAATCTAAATCAAACATATTGGCGGAAGCTTAAATTGACACTCACGTCTTCTTTTCGGCACCTGATCCACTGGGAGACGCCCCTGGACGTAGAGAGGATGATCTTGGCCACCTTGTTAATGGTCTCTTGCACCTCGTCCAGGCTGGGAGTTACCTGCACTCCCGGGGACACCAGCGAGGCACTCAGCTCCACCAGTGCCACACCCTGAGTCTCCTCTACTGCTCTGATTCCGGTGCCAATGATGCCACCACCACGCCTGCTGCTCACTTCTCCTGGTATGAATTACAAAGACAATCACTGGAGAGCCGCATTACAGCATTTAGAGCATGAGTGTTAACAGTAATAGTGTTAACAAATGTGTTTCCACTCAACCATTTCACGCATATGAGCAAAATATTAAGCGTGTCCACTGACCTTGGGTGTGCGGAGGGGTCACGGACGTGTGCTTGCGGATGGAGTCGAGCGCCCCGCGGACGGACTTGACGAGAACGTCCAGCACCTTACGATGGTATATGCGCCTCAGGTCCCGCGCTGCACACTCCACCTGGGAGACCAACCATAACATAGGGCTGAGGCTTTGTCAAAGGAGAGACAGGTACAAGCAGAGAAGTAAAAGGACAGTGAGAAAGGTTGGGGAAGATGTATAAATGATAAAAATATTAGGAAGAGGGAAACAAGAGAAGAAAGATTGAGAAATGTCGCAGAACTCTACGTGTAAACAAGAAATAATATTAAAATAAATGTTAATTGTGAGGTATTTTTACCTTATAGCCTCAGCTACATAATTCCCACACATCGTCGTGAATAACTCCCACATTCTCCCACACATTCTCACATACCACTCCCAGATTGTCCTCTACACTTTTCCCACACCATCTTCTTAACCATTCCTACACTCTTTCCCGTTAGAATATTCCTACACCATTCCAACACACATACGCTCAACCACTTGGGCTGGGCGGTAGAGCGACGGTCTCGCTTCATGCAGGTCGGCGTTCAATTCCCGACCGTCCAAGTGGTTGGGCACCATTCCTTCCCTCCCCGTCCCATCCCAAATCCTTATCCTGACCCCCTTCCCTCCCCGTCCCATCCCAAATCCTTATCCTGACCCCCTTCCCTTCCCAGTGCTATTTAGTCGTAATGACTTGGCACTTTCCCAACAATTCCCTTCCCCTCTAGCACACATTCACCATTTACACACCATCTTCTACACCATTCCAACATCTCCTCTAACCTATTCCTACACAATTCCAACACCTCCCTTACCCCCAATTCCAACACAATTCCAACACCTCCCCTATCCTATTAACACACCATCTTCTACACCATTCTTACACCCTCCTCTACCCTATTCCCACGCCATCTTCTCCTCCATGCCCACACCCTCCACTACCCGATTCCCACACCATATTTTCCACCATTCCCACACCCTCCCCTACACTATTCCCACACTCTCCCCTGCACTATTCCCACACCCTCCCCTACACTCTTCCCACACCCTCCCCTGCACTATTCCCACACTCTCCACTGCACTATTCCCACACCCTCCTCTACACTCTTCCCACACCCTCCCCTGCACTATTCCCACACCCTCCCCTACACTCTTCCCACACCCTCCCCTGCACTATTCCCACACTCTCCACTGCACTATTCCCACACCCTCCCCTGCACTATTCCCACACTCTCCACTGCACTATTCCCACACCCTCCCCTACACTCTTCCCACACTCTCCCCTGCACTATTCCCACACCCTCCCCTGCACTATTTCCATACCTCCTTCTACACCATTCGTCACCCTTCCCTTCAACATCTTCATACCTACTATTCACACTCATACGTCTTTTTTCCCTAAATGGTCATAACTTCTCTATTAACCTCATACCTTCCCTATTATCCTGACACCTTTCCCTAACTCCCTTATACAATGTCATGCGCCCTTATTCCTTTCACGACTCTTTTGTGCCTTTCCCTGGGTTGTCCTGCGTGTCAGTGATGGGTAGTATCTTTGACAGTGAACGGCCGCACTTTCAGGTGGTTTCATCTGCTCTGGCCCGACCTGCACTCAACTCTCACCTGTAGCTCCTAGTAACTGTTTGCATGCAACAGCTACTACTACAACACGTTCACACTCCGATGAACACCTTCGACTGGCTACCCTCAGGTAAGGGTACCTGAGGGTTCGAGACCCTCAGTGATGTAAGGCTTGTCTACCTACGTATGCCAAGACTGGACCCGGCAAACTTCGCGTAGGAAACCACCGGAATGTTTCAATGGGCAGGAAGGCGGACCAGCAAAGCGTTTTGGAGCGCAACTAGGGCGCAGTGAGACACTTAGGACATTGCTGGCCATCCTAACCTATCCCTTGCCATCTCGACTTGTCATGCTGCTGGACCCAGATAGGCCGTGACGATACAGTGAGGCTGACGATTTGCACATTTCTCCCTCACTTTAACTTAAGTCAAGCACAAGTCATGACTAACCCATACCTCACAACCTCAAGTCTTGTGGCGATGGACGAGTGATGAGGCAGCAGGTAAGGATACACTGCAGCTGTAGTCACAGACCTGCACACAGGCGGCTCAGAGCATGGGGTCGCTCTCTACTGGACCAAAGCAGCAGCAGAGCTTGGCAGTCCCCTGGGTGTCTGAGTAACCCTCTTCAAGACACACTTTGCACACCTCCATGGACGAAGGGGCTAGGAAAGGTGCTTCGATTCACCCTGGCTAGCAAGTCGCAGCTGGCTGGAATCCTTCACAGTGGTCGAATAAAAAAAAAAGTGAGGGTGCTTAATCTCGGTACTTTGAACGTTCGAAATTTGCTGGATAACACCAAGTCAGACAGACCTGAAACGCGAACTGCTCTGGTTGAAAAGGAACTAGTGCACCTCACTGTCGACATAACAGCACTCAGTGAAACACACTTGGCTGAAAAAGGTCAGCTCAGAGAACGTGATGGTGAGTACCCTTTCTCTGGGGTAGTTGCAGTAGCGCCGAACGACGAAAAGCTGGCGTTTAATATGTCATCAGATCTGACTTCCCCAAAATGACGCTCCCTTAATGACGCTTCAGCTCCCATTTGGAAGTAAGAGGAGTGGGAAAAAATAATATGAGTAGCTCGACAACTTTATTACAACAGTCCCAACATCAAAGAAGCTTATTATCCTCGAGGACTTCAATACCAGAGTAGGGACAGACTACCAGACCTGGGAAGACATCATTGGAAGACATGGCATTGGCAAGGGCAACAGCAATGGCCGCCGGCTCCTCACGTTGTGTGCTCTACGACCTCATCGTCACCAACACACTGTTTCACTTTCGCACCCGCAACAATCAGGTGATGGTCAGTCCAGCAGTCAGCACTACACATGGTCTTAGTCACTCGCACGTAAACGTAAATTTTTACTTAAATTCCATGCTCACATCCTGCCTGTTTTTTTGATGTCTTGTTGTGGGTATTTAAGATATTTATCAGGGGAAAGCGCAAAGCCATTACGACTATATAGCACTGAGAAAGAGTCAGAATAAGGATTTGGGATGAGACGGGGGAAAGGAATTGGTAGCCAACTACATGGACGGTCGGAGTTCAATCAGGTTGAAATGCCCATTAGATATAGGACTGATGGTGGACTGTTCAACCTTAGTCGCCTGCAGGCCATTAAAAAGGTAAAGGAAACTTTCACAAGAGATTTCTTGTTCGCTGATGACTGCGCCCTCATCACCAGCACAGTGCAAAGGATGCAGTACGAAATGGACTGCTTCTCACAAGCCTGCAACAGCTTTGGTCTCATCATCAGCACCAAAATGAATGAAGTCATGTACTAACCCACGCCCAGAATATGCTACCAGGAACCGCACATTACTGCGAAGGGGCAGAATATGCAGGTAGTCGACAACTTCACCTATCTTGGCACCATACTCTCATGAGTAGTGAACACGGACACGGAAGTTAACAACTTGATCGCTGCTTTTGAAAGATTCTGTGCGAATATCTGGGAGTGGAGGGGCCTCAGCCTTACAACTAAACTGAAAGTCTTCCGTGCAGTGGTTCCATCCTTCTCTATGTCAGCGTGACCTGGACTGTCCACAGCAGACACGCCAATCACTTTCACTTGAGCTGTCCGGGACAAAATCCCGGACACGAAGATTATGGAAGAGGCTGGTATTCCCTGCGTTTATACTCTCCTACAGAAAACTCAGGCCAGATGGGCAGGCCGTATTGCCAGAATGCCTGACAGCCTAAACAGCGCCTGTATGAAGAGTTATGCCAGAGGTACGTGTTCAGTTGGGGGGCAGAAAAAACGATTCAATAACTGCCTCAAGGTGGACCCAACGAAGGTGACCTCAACCCTAATACTTGGGAGTCATATGCTCAATACCGTCAAATTTGGGAAAGCAAAGTCCCTACAGGTACCCGTGCGACAGAGAATGGATGGACTGCTGAGGCCCAGAGGAAACGTGCCACGTGCCACGCTAGAGCAACCTCTATCTCTGCAGTAGCATCCACCCACTAATGTTCCATGAGGAGGCGAGCCTTGTGGACCCAGATTGATCTCATCCTCCATCTGACACACAGCCACCGACCTTAGACGTGATATATTGAAGTCATGGTCATCTTCGTCTCCGAAGGACCAACAACATACTTTTCCCTTCACACTCACATCTCCTATAACTTCCCCCTCTCACTCTTATACGTTTCCATTCACACTCATTACCTTCTAGTACACTCCTGTACCTTCCAGTACATCCTCACACCTTCCACTTTACTCTTGAACCCTCATACCTTCCCATACAATCTCATGAATACCTTTTCCATACTGATATCTTTCCCAACAACTATATTCCTACTATTACACCCCTATACTTTCCCAAGCCTTCTTATACCTTCCTCAACATCCCCATACATTTCTTTTCACCCTAATTCCTACCCATACACCTCCCTCATCACCTTCATGCCTTTCCCTAAACTGATACTTTCCCCTATAACAGGCGTTGCAAACCTTCCATAAAGGGTGTCCCTCAATTTACAATAATCTTCTAACAAAACTCGCGTGGCTGTAGGATTTTAATGCCGTAGATTATAATGTATTATCATTTTAGTATTTTACTATTTGTTTACAGAGAAAGATAACAAAATGCTTGAAAGAATTCTATTTAGGTAACCAATAACTTTTGAATTTGTTAAATGGTACATCATCAGGATTTATGTTATTAATAGCTAGTAATTCCAAAAAAAGTACAATTAATTAATTAATAACAATAATAATGAACTACTTTGAGGATAAAGGAGTCATAATGCTAACTAATGTGCATCTTCTACTATTAATAAAAGTGTAACAGAGATTGCAATAAATGAAAGCTGTTTTGAAAACCTGTTAAAAATTATTAATATTAATGTTTTTAACAAGAAAATTTAAAATAACAATGTATAAATTGTATTTTATCTGATAGGTAACAACAAGTTTTAATGTATAATTATAGATTTTGGTTCATATTATAAAATATAAACAAATAAAATAAGAGAAAATTAGGTTATTTTACTCTCAATGCGACTTTTGCACCAACGATGACATTTTATATCAGGATTGTATTTGGCTGTTTAGAAATCCGCACAAGGAACACTAGTTTCCTCAGTAAGTCTACTCCTATATTGGACTTAACAATTTGTCATCACTGAACAAAATAACTCCCATGAATATGTTGATGTAAATACTGCCATTGCGAGAGTTTTCAGGTAATGAAAAGTTTCTGGAACAGAATATCAGGGTTTTAAAAACCACATTTCTAAAATTGTTTTAATCTCGTCTCTCTAAATATTATCTAGTTCAGATCTTAAGTCGGCAAATTTTTGTATCCAAATTGAGCTGCATTGTAAATCAATCACCTGCATCTCAAAATCATCCAAATTAATCCACTGAAACATTTCCTAAATTATTTTGTCTTATTTTACACAGCTGCCCAATTAATTTTGCAGTTCCTTCAAATGACAGGAATTTAGTAAAATTAACAATAATCGATCAGCAGCAAAATCAGAAATGCTTGAAAATTGCATTAGAAGACTTATAATGTAAGTTTTCTTATGATATTTCAAGACCTTTCATGTGTATTTTTCGGTTTCAGAAATATTTAGAAGTGCCCTTGTCGACATCACATTTAAACATTTTCATTTTGATATCTGACATAACATTGTTTTGCCAGTCCTTGTAATTTGATGCAAAATCATAATTCGCTGCATCATTTGGCAGCAATGATAATTTCCATATATTTATTATGAGTTGGGTTTAAGGAATAAAGGGATGGTTGGTACTGTATGAAGTGCGCAGGCAAAAAATTTTCGTGTGCCTCCCTGAGCATGAGTGCAATTGGTTCATCACGCCTACTCCTACACCCTCAATCTTCACGTTGTGATTCAAAAGTATTGTATACAAAACCTAGAAGTTCTACCTTTTCTCGCGTCTCCCTTTTCTTCTTAGCGGCCTTCTCCTGGGGTGTGAGAGGCTTGGTGGGCAGCTCCAGTGTGGTGGCGAAGGGCCCCTCTGTTACAGGCACAGGGCTCCGCCGGGACGATCCTCCTGCGGATGACACTGTGGCCAAAAATATAGGTCTTAGGCTTTGGATCTTGTAACCCAGGTAAGTTAGAAAGAGATGGTCAGTACATCGGAACCTTAAACGCCAAAAAGATGTTGATGGACTTACTGTTATGAATAAAGTCAATGTTCTCAAGATTCCCCACCTTATCCAACTTCCTGGAAAACCAGAAGTGGGCAATCACACCACAGACACTCACCCATACACAACCTTCCTATTCCATGTGTACAAAGAGAAAACAGATGATCGAAAAAATAGTAAACATTTTTTAAATTATTTAAGCAATCTGGCTGAACTATTAAATTCACAAAAATTAAGAAAATCTGGTAAGTGCACTTCTCATAATTTGTAAAAAAAAAAGTATTTAAAAAATTAAGTCATCAAGGTCATAATAAGGCACCTTATTTTCTAAGATGAAAATCTGGTAAGTGCACTTCTCATAATTTGCAACAAAAAAATAAGTAATTAAAAAATTAAGTCATAATAAGGCACCTTATTATCTATAAAGTCTAATTTTGTTTAACCTATAATTATTTTAAATTATGTTCAGTGACAATCCGCATGGCTTGAATCTGGTAGCCACATGTTAGAAGCCATAGTCTCCCTTGTGGTGTCGTGAAAAGTGGAGGGTTATTCTCTTTAGTGAAGTACTCCTGGCGACAGTTTTCGCTGTATTATCCCCTTAATTTTAATAATGATTCAGCATGAATATGTGATAATCAATTTATTGAAACGGAATTCAATGAAACTACATGATTCTAAGTAAATGATAATAATAGCGCTAAAAATCTCCCATCAAAACAACACTACAAGAGTTGCTACCGTAGGTGCATCCGCCTTTCTGGTAATTTCCACGCCCTGAAGTATTTTTCCATTTGCCTATCATGACTATGTAGGACGCTGACAATTGTTGCATGCTGCAGTCGGAAGCCCTGGACACATTATACCAATTCATGAACAGAAACTATACTATGTTTACACAGTATGCTTGGTATACAACATTATAGGGTATACGCAGTATTCATGTAATAGCTATACATAAATAAGCACTTTTATTGCATAAATGTATTGTAAGCTATAAACTAAATGAATTAACTAATGACATTTATATGTACACCTGAAAATATTTATCTCCTAATATGCAAAATGCTAAAATAATTTTTATTAGTTTTTCTCCATTACACACAGAAATCATAATTACATGATGCATCAAATGAACAAATCCACAAGGGCCGTGACGAGGATTCGAACCTACGTCCGAGAGCATCCTACACGCTGCCTTAATCGACTGAGCTACGACATGCTAAAAGGAGTTGAAACCGAAGTGCTACTGAACTTACTGGATCCTGCTTCCTCTCCGAGGCACAAATCAGGATTTTACAGAACTCCCCCCCATGCACTCGAGGTATGTCAATAGGCCGTTCTCCCTCTTCGCCCTTACTTCATTACGCACAGAAATCACAATTGCCACAGTAAGGTACATTCAATTTCCCTGCCTCTTCCCCCTTAGTTGATAAGACGTGCATATTAATTATTTCATGATCATAGAGATATTTGTAGTGCCAAGAAGGGCTAAGATTATGGCAGTTTTAGACTAAGCGTTAATTTTTGGTGTTGTTCTTTAACGCAGGTGATCCAGATTAACCATGTATTGTTAATGAGAAGTTAAAGTAAATGTTACACAAGTGAAGTTATTGTGACTTTTATGAGAAAACTTTAAAGTAAGTTATAGCCTAGTGAATTCTGACTAGAAATATAGATGGATGTTGCCATATTGTGAAGGACTTTCATCGAGGAGTATTACCGTATAGAAACATTTTCAGGCCATGAACTGTGTACTCTTAATTCCATTAAACGGTTTATATTCTTTACATGGCGTTTTGTTTCACTCTATCTTATATATGTCTGCCTCGGGTTAGACTGAGTTCTGATCACAAATAAGTAACTGGCAGACTGGAACAGGTGTACCACTGTACACAGAGAAATTTATCTGGTTTGCGGATACACCAATTGAGGACCCGGGAATAGCCGGCTTATCAGTGAGCTGCCACATAATTTAATGACTTATTTATTTTGCTATGGATTTGAAAAACTTGACATTTATGCAAAATTATTGATAAAATAAAAAAAATTCTCTGAAACTTAAACAAATTAAAAATGCAAATTAAATTTGAAGATTAGTCATATAAGCTATTTATCATCCATTTTTTTAAATATTCGTCGAAAAATTTTTCACATTTTTTGATGGCTGCATTGCTAAGACTTTGTCAGGAGCATTAACATTTTGCGTTTTCTTACATCATATTTTGAAAAGTATCTTATTTTTTGAATTTCAAATTCAAAAGTAAAGTCCGGTAGAGCATCTTATGCTGATTGCACCATTCTCAAGAATAACACTCCATCAGTGACCATTTATTCTGCACTCAACCACGTTTGGAGCATGTTCGTTCACTTAACAAGCTTTTCATAATCTAAGGAAATAATAAGCTTATCAGATAATTAGTAGTCTCAGGATTCAGAGGGGGTGATTTAGGATAACAGATTTAAGTTTGCAGTTTCATTAGGCACAGCAATGGTATTCCAAATGAACTATTAGTATTATGAAAGAGGTAAGAGCGGAGGTATGGCGCAGGGGATAGAAATGCTGGAGATGGAGATTTTATTATTATACTTGAAGATTAGAGAGATATGTTGGTGGATGTGAGAGATTTCTGACCTGAGCGAGAGTCGTCAAGGTCGCCTCCGTCATCAAGATCTTCAGCAATGAGGAAGCTGGTGTTGTCGTTGCCGGGTATCCCGCCCTCTACCCCCACCAGCACCAGTTCGATGAGCTCCAGCACGGCGTCCTCCACCACACGGCTCCTGCTGTTGAGCTCCTGCCAGGGCAGCACCAACACCTCATTTGGTAAGATATATCATTAGAGATTGGACAGGAAGAAGTGAGCGGCGAGCTATCCATAAAAGTGGATCGGAAGGTGAAGTTTAGGGGAAGGAGAAGTGGAACGGAAGGAGAAGTGGAGGGGAAGATGAAGTGGACGGTGGTGGTCCATAAGAGAGAAGAGCAAGGAAAAGTGGACGGGATAATTCGATACAAATCATTAGTTTATTTTCATGAGTAACTATAAATGATCTTCCCCTTAACCTTACATGTGTTTCTCTGCGATGATTAATATTAATGTTATGATGAGTGATCCTCACCAGCCTGGCAGCAGGTGAGCCAGGTTACCTGAGCAGCCTGGCAGCAGGTGAGCCAGGTTACCTGAGCAGCCTGGCAGCAGGTGAGCCAGGTTACCTAAGCAGCCTGGCAGCAGGTGAGACAGGTTACCTGAGCAGCCTGGCAGCAGGTGAGCCAGGTTACCTGAGCAGCCTGGCAGCAGGTGAGGCAGGTTACCTGAGCAGCCTGGCAGCAGGTGAGGCAGGTTACCTGAGCAGCCTGGCAGCAGGTGAGACAGGTTACCTGAGCAGCCTGGCAGCAGGTGAGCCAGGTTACCTGAGCAGCCTGGCAGCAGGTGAGCCAGGTTACCTAAGCAGCCTGGCAGTAGGTGAGGCAACTTACCTGAGCAGCCTGGCAGCAGGTGAGGCAGGTTACCTGAGCAGCCTGGCAGTAGGTGAGGCAACTTACCTGAGCAGCCTGGTAGCAGGTGAGGCAGGTTACCTGAGCAGCCTGGCAGCAGGTGAGGCAGGTTACCTGAGCAGCCTGGCAGCAGGTGAGCCAGGTCTTGTGAATGAAGAGGTCGAGAGTCCAGGGCGCGACATCCGGCAGGAGGTAGAGCCTGACGCTGGTCATGGCCGCTAGGACGCCTTCCATCCGGTGGTGGAAGATGTCGTTTACTCTGGTCACAAAATAAAGCACATTATTATTACTGACCTCTGTACATGTTGTGCGGTGCTCGATGATGTACCTGGTTGATACCTGGTTGATGGGGTTCTGGGAGTTCTTCTACTCCCCAAGCCCGGCCCGAGGCCAGGCTTGACTTGTGAGAGTTTGGTCCACCAGGCTGTTGCTTGGAGCGGCCCGCAGGCCCACATACCCACCACATGTGGTGTTATGTGTGGGAGAAATACCAGGATTGATAAAAGAGGAGAATTACATAGGACTATAAATGTGGTCACTAGAACCATAAATTTGCAACTTAATGTATAATGAGATATACTAAAGAATTATATATACACTAGCTATAGATATTCAGATTTATATGAATGTTCATCAATAAAAGAGGTTCAATGACTGAAGACGGTAAATCAACTTACTAATTGGTGTGGCCTTGCCTCGCTGCCTAACGACTCTCAATCTCTTCATCATTATCTGTTATTTGACCTGTCCCAGTTTTTAATGGACCTATCCTTTCCCTAATTTTTGTCCGGTATAACTGGAATAACCCTTTAGGATTTGTCTTTGCTTGCTCTGCTATGCGAACTTCATAGTTCCTTTTTGCTTTCCATATCTCTTTTTTAGTATTTCTAACCAGTTGTACGAATTCCTGTTCTAAACTGACTTCCCCATTCTTAATCCTTTTGTACCACGCTCTCTTTTTACCTATAAGGTTCTTCAGATCCTTTGTTATCCACTTTGGATCATTAGTATTCGATCTATTCAATTTATTTGGTATACTACGTTCCTGGGCTTCGCTTAGAATATTTTTAAATAGGTTATATTTTGAGTCCACATCGAAAACCCCTTTTACGTCACCTATTGCTGGGTTCACGTCTAGCTCCAAGACCGGCCCACACCCCATACCCAAGACTTTCCAATCTATTTGACCCAATAAATTTCTTAGGTTATTGAAATTAGCTTTTCGAAAATCAGGTACTTTAACAGAATTTTCTCCTACAAATCTATTCCATTCTATGCTAAATCTGATTTCTTTGTGATAACTGTTCCCTAGCTCACTCCCAATTTATATGTCCTTAATTTGTGTTTCCCTGTTAGTTAACACTAAATCTAAAATATTATTTTTTCCCGCGTTGGTTCCTTTATGTGTTGCGTAAGAAAGCAATCGTCAATTAATTCTAGAAAATCTTCTGCTTCATTATTCCCTGTTTTGTTCAACCAGTTTATTCCACTAAAATTAAAGTCACCCATGACATAAATACTGTTAGATCTAGATGCTCTAGATATTTCATCTCATAGATGCTTTGCTTCCATTCTGTCTAAATTTGGTGGCCTATATATAACTCCTATTATACTATTATTTGCTTTTTCGTTTAATCCTATCCAAATAGATTCTGTGTGGCTCAGATTTGATTCCTTCTTTGAGACTACATTTCAAATTGTCCCTAACGTATATGGCTACTCCCCCTCCTCGTCTAATATATCTATCTGTGTGAAATAGTTTAAATCCATTTATTTGATATTCTCTATTTCCTACATTCATCCACGTTTCGGTAAGTGCAATAATATACATTTTTTCTGTGCAGATAAGAGCATTTAACTCGTTTATTTTGTTTCTTAGACTTCTACTGTTAGTGTAATATACCCCTAAGTGTATTGTTATTTTGAGGTCCTTCTCTCTCCCCCTGATCATTTTGCCAATTTGTTTTCCCCTCAAACACATACTTTTATTAACTCCTTTCTCCATATCAATTCCCATACCACTATCTACTAACAATTTAAACCCAAACCCAAACAAACGCTTCCAACTACTGGTTCCAACGAGTTCGCAACCACAACAACCCCAGTCCTCGATAGATGCACTCCCCATCCCGAGCATACATATCATTTCTTCCATAGAAGTGTGTCCAGTTATCTTATGAATGATATTGCATATGGCTATTATTATTAATATGGCTTATTATTGTTGTGGATCAGTTTATCCTAGAGTTTCATGATTATATATTTGTAACTTCCACCATATTCGTAATTTTACAGCCAGTCTTAAGCTGCCTAATGTACCAATGTCATTAGGTTATGTGTACTTCTAGATGTGGCATCTGGATGTTTGACTTGTCTGTGTGACGTAATAGCCAGTCTTAAATTGCCTAGTGTACCAATGTTATGCCATGATCTTCACTTAGTGACATCTAGCTTTTTGACTTGTGCTTTGACTAAATGGATTGGTACTAGTTGTGTATATGTGTATAGATAAAGTTGTATATAAAGTGGTCGCATGTAGATTAGTTCACCCACAGTAAACTGGTGGATTTTACGGAGACTTACCCTGGACCCATTTATATTTTAATACTTGTGGCCTAGTGGCTCAATGGTTACTGACGGATAATAGGCCGTGCTGACTGCAAGGCCTATTACCCTACGTCCAGGTCGAGGCTGCAGACTATTGTTTATATTGTGGGTACAGGAAAAGCAGACGTCCCTCCTTGGTTGTAAGTTGAGAGGGCACTCGACGGAGAATACAAATTAGTATCACTGTGCTGGAGTGTGTTAATGAGAGGAGCCCAGACGCCTCCTAGAGACTGTGGCACTTTGGGTTACATCCAGGTGTGGGCACTCCACCAATATTCCCCTAACATCCCTAGGAGCGTGATAAGACACAAACTTTACAAACACACCAGTCTTCCTCACCTGTCAATAAGCACCTCGAAGGTCCTCACAGCCTGGAAGCCATGGTCGAAGAAACTATGGGCCTGTATGGAGGACCAGGTGAGAGTGGTGAGAAGTGGGCTGAGCGTCTCCTTCAGCTTGGTGACGTGGGGCACCAGCAGGGGAGCCAGGCTCTTCCCCACTTTACCCAGCACTCGCTCCTGCTCGTTTAACAAGTGCTGAAACCACAATGACAAACGGTATAATTACAAACTCAGTGTGGATATATTATACTGTCAACAGTCACAGACAAAACATAAGAACATAAGAACAAAGGCAACTTGTGATTGCGAAGTCGGATTGCGAAAGGGATCTGGGAGTTATGATTAGTAAGAATTTAAAACAAAAGGATCAATGCATAAATGTTCGTAATAAGGCAAATCGGACACTTGGATTTATTAATCGCAGCGTTAGTAACAAGACACCTGGTGTGGTTCTCAAGCTATATCTTGCTCTAGTTAGGCCCCATTTAGATTATGCAGTTCAGTTTTGGTCGCCATATTATAGAATGGATATAAATTCACTTGAACGTGTCCAGCGTAGGATGACTAAGTTAATTCCCCAAATTAGAAATCTTTCATATGAAGAAAGATTAACAAAGCTTAAGTTGCATTCACTGGAAAGGCGAAGAGTTAGGGGTGACATGATAGAGGTTTACAAGTGGATGAATGGACATAACCGGGGGGATATTAATAGGGTATTAAAAGTATCAACACAGGACAGAACACGAAACAATGGATATAAATTGGATAAGTTTAGATTTAGGAAAGACTTGGGTAAATACTGGTTCAGTAACAGGGTTGTTGATTTGTGGAACCAATTGCCGCGTAACATTGTGGAGGTGGGGTCCCTCGATTGTTTCAAGCACGGGTTGGACAAGTATATGAGTGGGATTGGGTGGTTATAGAATAGGAGCTGCCTCGTATGGGCCAATAGGCCTTCTGCAGTTACCTTTGTTCTTATGTTCTTATGTTCTTAACTGCAGAAGGCCTGTTGGCCCATACGAGGCAGCTCCCATGATCTTCAAGAAGGTATAGAATCGTTTCTCTCAATGTTTGCCGATGATGCAAAAATTATGAGGAGGATTGAAACTGAGGACGATAGTAGGAGGCTACAAGATGACCTAGACAGACTGAGTGAATGGTCCAACAAATGGCTGTTGAAGTTCAACCCGAGTAAATGCAAAGTAATGAAACTAGGCAGTGGAAACAGGAGGCCAGACACAGGATACAGAATAGGAGATGAAGTACTTAATGAAACGAACAGAGAGAAAGATCTAGGAGTTGATATCACACCAAACCTGTCTCCTGAAGCCCACATAAAAAGAATAACGTCTGCGGCATATGCGAGGCTGGCTAACATCAGAACAGCGTTCAGGAACCTGTGTAAGGAATCATTCAGAATCTTGTACACCACATATGTAAGACCAATCCTGGAGTATGCGGCCCCAGCATGGAGCCCGTACCTTGTCAAGCACAAGACGAAGCTGGAAAAAGTCCAAAGGTATGCCACTAGACTAGTCCCAGAACTAAGAGGCATGAGTTACGAGGAAAGTCTGCGGGAAATGCACCTTACGACACTGGAAGACAGAAGAGCAAGGGGAGATATGATCACAACCTACAAAATCCTCAAAGGATTCGACCGGGTAGTAAACAAGAATAAACTATTCAACACTGGTGGGACGCGAACAAGGAGACTCAGGTGGAAACTGAGTACCCACATGAGCCAAAGAGACGTTAGAAGGAACTTTTTCAGTGTCAGAGTAGTTAACAGATGGAATGCATTAGGCAGTGATGTGGTGGAGGCTGACTCCATACACAGTTTCTAATGTAGATATGATAGATCCCAGTAGACTCAGGAATCTGTACACCAGTTGATTGACAGTTGAGAGGCGGGACCAAAGAGCCAAAGCTCAACCCCCGCAAGCACTACTAGGTGAGTACAGTCTTGCAAGGACTGCGAGGATCTGCCTTAGGGGGCTCGCGGCTTATTGAACAGCGCTCTGGGGTCGTAGTCCTAAGAACCCGGGTTCGATCCCTGGCAGAGGCAGAAACAAATGGACAGAGGTTCTGTCACCCTAGTGCGCCTGTTCATCTGGGAGTTCAGTAAATAGGTACCTGGGAGTTAGACAGCTGCTGTGGGCTGTTTGTGTGTGTGTGTGTGTGTGTGTGTGTGTGTGTGTGTGTGTGTGTGTGTGTGTGTGTGTGTGTGTGTGTGTGTGTGTGTGTGTGTGTGTGTGTGTGTATTCACCTAATTGTGCTTGCGGGGGTTGAGCTTTGGCTCTTTGGTCCCGCCTCTCAACTGTCAATCAACTGGTGTACAGATTCCTGAGCCTACTGGGCTCTATCATATCTACATTTGAAACTGTGTATGGAGTCAGCCTCCACCACATCACTTCCTAGTGCATTCCATTTATTAACTACTCTGACACTGAAAAAATTCTTTCTAACGTCTCTGTGGCTCATCCGGGTACTAAGTTTCCACCTGTGTCCCCTTGTTCGTGTCCCACCCGTGCTGAAGAGTTTGTCTTTGTCCACCCTGTCAATTCCCCTGAGAATTTTGTAGGTGGTTATCATGTCTCCCCTTACTCTTCTGTTTTCCAGGGATGTGAGGTTCAGCTCCTTTAGCCTTTCCTCGTAGCTCAATCCTCTCAGTTCCGGGACGAGCCTGGTGGCATACCGCTGAATCTTCTCTAACTTTGTCTTGTGTTTAACTAGGTATGGACTCCAGGCTGGAGCTGCATACTCCAGGATTAGTCTTACATAAGTGGTATACAGGGTTCTGAAAGATTCCTTACACAAGTTTCTGAAGGCAGTTCTTATGTTGGCCAGTCTAGCATATGCCGCTGATGATATTCTTTTGATGTGGGCCTCTGGGGACAGGTTCGGTGTGATATCAACCCCTAGATCCTTCTCTCTATTTGATTCTTGCAGGATTTCCCCTCCCAGATGATACCTTGTGTTCAGCCTCCTGCTCCCTTCGCCTAATTTCATCACCTTACACTTTCCCGAGTTGAACTTCAGCAGCCATTTTATAGACCATTCCTCCAGTTTATCCAGGTCATCCTGTAGTCTCTGTCTATCTTCATCCGTCTTGATTCTTCTCATAATTTTTGCATCATCAGCAAACATCGAGAGGAATGAGTCTATACCCTCTGGAAGATCGTTCACATATATTAGAAACAGGATGGGTCCAAGTACTGAGCCCTGTGGGACTCCGCTGGTGACATCTCGCCACTCTGATGTCTCCCCCCTCACCGTTACTCGCTGTTTCCTGTTGCTTAAGTACTCCCTTATCCACTGGAGCACCTTCCCTTTTACTCCTGCCTGTTGCTCCAAATTTTTTACAGCCTTTTATGGGGTACTGTGTCAAAGGCTTTTTGGCAATCCAGGAAAATGCAGTCGGCCCACCCTTCTCTTTCCTGCCTAATTTTCGTTGCCTGGTCATAAAATTCTATTAAACCTGTGAGGCACGATTTACCATCTCTGAACCCATGTTGGTGGTGCGTTACAAAGTTATTTCCCTCCAGATGCTCTACGAGCCTTTTCCTCACGATCTTCTCCAGCACCTTGCATGGTATACAAGTTAAGGAAACTGGCCTGTAATTCAGTGCCTCTTGCCTGTCACCCTTTTTGAATATTGGGACCACGTTAGCTGTCTTCCAACTTTCTGGTAAGTCTCCTGTTTCCAGTGACCTGTTATACACCATAGAGAGTGGCACACTTAGTGCTTCTGCACCTTCCTTTAGTATCCATGGTGAGATTCTATCAGGCCCAACAGCCTTTGTCACATCCAGCTCCAGCAGACACCTTTTGACCTCATCACTGATGAGGTCAAATTCCTCCAAGGTTGCTTGGTTTGCCGCCTCCTCATTTAGTGCAGGGGCTTCTCCTTGTTCTATTGTGAAGACCTCCTGGAATCTCTTATTGAGTTCTTCACACACCTCCTTGTCATTCTCTGTGTATCTGTGTATCTGTGTGTGTGTGTGTGTGTGTGTGTGTGTGTGTGTGTGTGTGTGTGTGTGTGTGTGTGTGTGTGTGTGTGTGTGTGTGTGTGTGTGTGTGTGTGTGTGTGTGTGTGTGTGTTTAAGAGAAATATATGTATTAGACATAACAGAGGAAAATAAATTGTTTAGAAATGCGGGGTCCAAGAGCTAATAAGCTCGATTCGGCAGATACAAATGATAAACACACATACATTCCTGTCCTCTGATAGATAATCCGCGGTTTCCTTACCTTGACCATGTCGCGTTTCTTGAGAAGGAGAGGAGCCCTGTTGAGGAGCAGCTGGGTCATGTAGGGCACGTCGAAGCCCAGCTGCTGAATCTTGGTAGCCTCGTGAAGGAGGGTGGAGATCCTGGGGTCCCAGTTGACGTAGAGGTCCTCGGTGTCGGGTCGCCTTACCACCAGTGTACACCGCAGCGACTTCTGGATGTCAGTCATCTGCAGCACATACACGCTCAGCTCTCACCATGTTTACACTCTAATCTTTCTGCCTTTACTGAGGGATTTTGCTGCTTCACAAAGTCTACCTCAGCAAATACATATTATAATAATAATATTGTTAGATTTATTATTATTGTTATTATTAATAATAGTAATTTCATTATTAGTAGTAATAAAAATATATCGATACACAAGAAAATCCCACTAACGTGATATATCAATAAATAAATCAATTGGAGCAATGAGGGGATTAGAACTCTCGACCTGGGTACTCCCAACCCTCCCATCTTAACTATGGACCTCTACATATATCATTAGTGTGATTTTGTTGTGTATCTGAAGCTGGAGTGCAAGATGGAAGAACTCCATAATCTATACGAGAGTGCTGGGGTTATTTGTTTAGCTTAAGGACTTGCCTTTAGCTTAAGGACCTGCCTTTAGCTTAAGGACCTGCCCTTAGCTTAAGGACTTGCCATCAGCTTTAGGACTTGCCATTAGCTTAAGGCTCTACCTCTAGCTTATGGGACCTGCCTTTAGGTCCTGCCTTTAGCTTAGGGACCTGTCTTCAGCTTAAGGACCTGCCTTTAACTTAAGGACCTGCCTTCAGCTTAAGGACCTGCCTTCAGCTTAAGGACCTGCCTTTAGCTTAAGGACCTGCCTTCAGCTTAAGGACCTGCCTTTAGCTTATGGACCTGCCTTCAGTTTAAGGACCTGCCTTCAGCTTAAGGACCTGCCTTTAGCTTAAGGACCTGCCTTCAGCTTAAGGACCTGCCTTCAGCTTAAGGACCTGCCTTTAGCTTAAGGACCTGCCTTCAGCTTAAGGACCTGCCTTCAGCTTAAGGACCTGCCTTTAGCTTAAGGACCTGCCTTCAGCTTAAGGACCTGCCTTTAGCTTAAGGACCTGCCTTTAGCTTAAGGACCTGCCTTCAGCTTAAGGACCTGCCTTCAGTTTAAGGCTCTACCTTTAGCTTTAAGACCTGCCCGAAATGCTATGCGTCTTAGTGGCTTTGCAAGAATGTTACACACAAACCTCGATGCATCCATTTTCTAAACCCAATGTACCTTTTTATATAAAAATGAATCAGATTTTTATAAACAATCATGAGTTCTACGAACATAGAGACGACTGTACCTCAGAACAGTTTGATCAGACCAACTCGCTGGAACATCTACACTACAAACATCCTAAAAATAATACCCGAGGATGGTGCCTATGCAGGTGATTGTACTATGACTTCTTCAGGCGACAAAGAAATGTTATAAAAGAAACCATTAAAACCATAACAAATCAGCAGGAGCCATGATGAGGATTAGAACCTATGTACATGGTATTCCCAGGCATACTCCCCAGACAACCAGGCCATAAAATGGTCAAAAGAATTGCAACCTGGGGTTCTACTGAACCCTCGAGGGTTCCTGAGGATTCAACTGTAGCCGCACCAAGGTTTCACATAATCCCCACCATGCACTCTGGCTCTGTCGTCTAGAAATGTTCTACCTCTGACGCTCCTCTTTCAATACACAGAGAACAATCACACAAACGTGATGTATCAATGAGAAAATCCATTGGAGCCGTGATGAGGATTCGAATCTATTTGCTGGGTATTTGTTTGGAGCGTATGCCTGGGAACACCCAGCGTATAGGTTCGAATCCTCATCACGACTCCTAGGGATTTTCTCATTGACACATCACGTTAGTTTGATTGCTCTGTGTGTCCTAAAACGATCTTGGGGAAAACATTAATAAGTTCTTGCTGCCCCAAATTTAACTCATCTTTTGGCTGTCTCACAAAAACACCAAACATATCGTCTAGACAAGTCAAGAAAACACTGATATACATCCCGTCAGTTATCATATTAGAGTTCGAAATGGATTAAATTTATCCTTCATAAGACATATTGTCAGAAAGTAGGTTGTTTACTGAGAGTAATTCATAACCTACATGCTAAGCATTGTATAACATCTAGAACTCTTGAATCAGATCTATTAAGGAGTAGTCGCCACCATCTACCGTCGTTTCTTATGTTTATCGACAAATTTCAAGATAGGATAACGCATCTAGTGAGAAGTAGGCAAGCATTTATCAAAAGAAGGCACCAAGCCGGGGTGGCTATGTATCACCGTAAAATGTGCGGGATATTCAAAAGGCAATAAATATCACTAAAGATGTCACTACGAGGACTAAAGTGCATAAGGCCAACATCAAAGGTATCTGATTCACCAAGGATTTTATCGAGGAACAGGTAACCACGGGGGAGAGTCGGGAAGCAAGACACATGCACATCTTGGAAGTCAGGACATTCACCAAGAATATGAACGACTGTAAGAGGGACAATGCAGTTTGGACAATAAGGAACAAGGCGGCGCTCCAATAATGCCTGTGTATGCCTAGCCGTGGTTAAACGGGTATGGCCAATACGTAACATTGCCTGAGCTGTTTCCCACCGCCAGTTATGGTGGTAGGAGAAAGGCCATGGGGACACACTACCCTTAAGAGCACGCAGCTTGTTACCAGTAAGAGAAGACCAGCGATCCTGTCAACAAGCACGGATTAAGGAATGAATAACAGGGTAGAAGTCAAATGAAGGAATACGTTTGTGGGAAATGAGACTAGTGCAGATAATCTCCTTCGTGGCAGAATCCGCACACTCATTTAAGGAAAAACAGATATGTCTAGAATCCAAGCAAAAGTCGACTGTCTTAAATCTGCTGGAGATAAGAAACAGCGAATGTTAAATTTCGACGATCACAGGATGGACAGGATTTAAGTACTCCAGAGCTATGAGGGCACTATGAAAGTGAGCAACAACAACAAAGGAAGAATGACGGCGAGAAAGCAGTTGACGAAGAGCATACAAAATATAATATTGTTCGGCTATGAAGATGCTAGTCTCTGAAGGCAGGCGACATATATATAGGTGCAGTCAAGAAATAGAACGGAGTAAACTACACCACCGGCAGGCTTAGACCCATCTGAAAAGACGGAGATGGAGCTGGAGTGTGAGGAATATTGAGCAAGAAAAAGGCGTTTCAGAATTGTAGGAGGGGTAAAAGCTAAAAAAAAAAAGTAAAAAGAGGATTACCATAATGCGACAGAGGGGGGGGGGTTGAAGAACGACCTGCTTCTGAGTAAAGGTTATAGCACAAGTCTTAGCTGTAGAGAACTTGAAGCTATGATTGGTGGCTCTGGAGGACATGGCATCAATCGCAAGTTGAAGCCAGCCATTGGAGGAAAGCGAATTATCATCTTGACAACAGAGGGTTTCATCATCAACATCAAGAGCGGAGAAAATGTTAGAGGGAAGGGAGGAAAGAAGACTATTGAGGGCAATCACAAAAAGAATAGTGCTCAAAATACGACCTTGGGGTACACCTTCGTATTGCCGAAAGGCAGAGAGAGCAGTACCAAGCCTCACTCAAAAGAAACGAACAAAGAAGAAGTTCAGGAGGAAAAGAGGGAGATTACTCAAAGGCCAAAGGAACGGAGTTGGGACAGAATATGGCATCTCCAGGTAGTGTCATGCGCCTTTTCCAGGTCAAAAAGAACAGCAACCATGGAGGTTTTCGCAGCAAAGACAAAACGAATATAGACATCGAGGTTCATGAGGACATCAGTCGTGCTGTGACACTTGCAAAAGCCAAATTGAGAAAGAGGGAAAAGGCGATAGCTATCCAAGAACCACATCAGATGGGCATTGACCATACGTTCAAAGAGTTTGCAGACGCAACTCGTTAGAGCAATGAGGTGAAGTCTTTAAGGGATGTCCCTAGAGAATCAGATTTCCAAATAGGAAGAACAACCACCTCAATCCAGTCCTCAGGGACTGATGACAACTCCCAGACATGGTTATAGACATTCAGTAAATACTGAAATATGGATGGAGGGAGAAGGTGAATCATCTCATTATGAATATCATCTGAGCCCGCCGCCGTAGAACCGCAAAGGGCCAGGGCAGACTGGAGTTTGGAGAGAGAGAAAGGATCGTTATAGGAAAACTGAAGATGAGTGCAAAAATATAAGGGACAAGATTCAAGAAGGGGCTTTCAAATAAGGAGAGAAGGAGGAAGATGAGAACCGGAACTAACAGTCGAAAAGTGTGAACCCAGTTCAGTCGCGACCAACACCGGCAGATGAGTGTCAGACATAATGGTAGAAATGAAATCGTCAACCCTCACGCTTAGCCATGCCGATGGTCCTACGGGCCACAGCACTCGCCTTCTGAGACAAAATAAAAGAATCGGGCATTCGTTGGCGACGGTGTTTCTTAAAGACTGCACGCTTGGTAAACTGCCACCTAGTGAAGGAGAGGGAAGGGTGAAAAGTGAAGAAGGTGACAAGGATGGGGAAATAGTCACTGTTATGTAGGTCATCAAGAACCTGCCAGGTGAGGGCCAAATAAAGAGAAGATGAATAAAGAGAAAGACCAAGAGAGGAAAAAGAGGGAGTGCAGGAGTTCACCAGAATTCAGAAGAGACAGAGAAGAAGAGGACCAAAGGGTCAAAAAGGCAGCACCGGGTGTTTGTCAGAACATCTCCCTAGAAGGTATGGCGACAGTTAAAATTACCCAAAAGGAGCACAGGCTGACTTACAAGCAGTAAGGAGTCCAACAGGTGTTTATGATCAGGAAAAGAAAGCAGGACATTTGCGAGACGATAAGTGGAACTGACTGTATACCATTTACTCACAATGATACAGACCACAAAACACTGAATGGGCGACTGAAAATGTATGGGGACTGTTACGGTATCGTCACCCTCGTCGGAGTGTAGATTGGCCATTTCAGCGCCATCTATGGGCCTGCACTCCAACCCCCCTGATATTGGATGCTACGTGGACAACACCATCTATTGGTGGAGGCATGACGTCAAACAATGGCTGCTGTTTCCTGCCCAAGTTAACAAGAGAAGTGGACTTAGATGACCTCTGGTGGATGGCGGGTCACGATCAGCGCCGTGACCCGTGAACTTGACTAGATACAAAGTAAAATCTCACAGATGACAATGGGTTGGAAAGGGAGAGAATGGGCCGAAGAAAATAATATGGTATTTAATGAACGTAAGTTCCAGGTCCTGCACTATGCAAAAAATGAACATATAAAAACGGAAACAACGTACGAAACGCAGTCAAATCTTACTATAATGCATTAAAGGAATTTAACGGATTTGGATGTAATCATGGAAGAAGACTTTACCTTTGAAGAACACAATAAAGTAGCCGTCACAACTGCAAGAAAAAGGACAGGTTAGATAACACGAACCTTTCAAACAAGGGATGAAGTTCCAATGAAGATACTTTTTAAGACCCTAATACTCTCTAGACTGGAATACTGTTGCACAATATCAGCCTCTTTCAAAGCTGGAGGAATTACTGACTGGAGAGCGTGCAGAGATCCTTTACTGCTAGAATCCACTCAGGAAATCATTTAAATTACTGGGACTGAAAAATAGCCTAAATCTGTATTCTCTAGAGTGCAGGCGGGAGAGATTCATAATAATATACACATGGAGGATATTGGAGGGGCTAGTCCCAAATCTGCACACATAAATAACATCACATGATACCAGAAGGCATGGCATGATGTGCAGAATTCCCCAGATGAAAGTCAGAAGTGCAATAGGTGATCTGAGAGAGAACTCTATCAACATCAGAGGCCCGAGTCTGTTCAACACGCTTCACTACACATAAGGGGCATAACTGGCCGACCCCTCACAGTGTTAAAGACATAACTCGATAAATACCTCCAAAGGATTCCTAATCAACCCGGCTATGATTTATATGTCAGGCTACGAGCAGCCGCGTCCAACAGCCTAGTTTACCAGTCCTTCAGTCAGGAGGGTTGGTCAGAGACCGGGTCGCGGGCACCTTGACCCCCAGAATCATCGCAAGGTAACCGAAGGGTATCTACAGGTTGACTGGTTTTCCCTTGAATAATTCGAATGAACTGCAATTCCTAACCATTTTCTCCTCTTTAGTGAGAGTTTAACATCCAATATTAGATACTGAATTTTAAGGAAATTATGATTTTTTGGAGTGAATATTACATGATTACAGCCATATAATGTGGTTTAATAATATATTAGAAAGTGAAGAAGGTAGCAGGACCCACACTCTGCTTCCGCCAGGCATCGTAGTAAGCCAGCTCGTACTGCACCAGAGTCCTCCCTAAACGGTTGTACCTCCTCACCGCCTCCTTCCCCTCAGGCATCTTCAGCAGAACAGGATGATCTTTGAAGAACATCATGGGCTCCTCCAGATGCAGGAACAAGCTCCGGGCCCACTGGATCTTTCCTGTGGAAGTCAACAATATATTTTCTGAAATTTATTATTTGGTGTGCGACGTCAGGTGGTGCAGCTTCCTCAGTTGAGGGATCTTTGTTTTTTATTAAATAAATATGGAAGGCAAATTATTATTTTTATTAAATTTGATATGTGACTTTCATTCTCATTTAACTAAACTCGTCAGTTTGTGATTTTATTTTTTGAACATTTATCCCATATTCGTAATGACTGACGGAATTCTCCAAGTATGATGTATGAATGAACTATAGAATGAAGAGCTTGAGGCAGGCTACAAATTCCGGTTGAAAGTTATTTTGACGGAACATGAGGACACGTGCACCAGCCGACTGGTATAGAAGCGGGACTCAAGAGTGGAAACCAGTCCTCTGAAAGCACACGCAACGAATCATGCACAGCATATACACCATGAGACACGCCTCACGTATAGCCAGGCACACGCAGTATTGCGGCAAGTGCAAATAACAACTTTGTCAACATCATCAAGTCTTCCAGAGAGAATGTCAGGTTGGATGAAGAGACGATATCAGTGTAAGCTCGCACCACTATAACATACTAGTAGCAAAGGCAACTCTGGGGATTTCGTGACTAGTTGTAGGTATTCTATTTGACACTAACATGAGGGAGAAAAGGGATAACAAAGATGGCCGAATCACCACAGTGGTCTTGTATTTATATAAGACAACAAAGACCAGCAAATCTTAACTTCCTGGCAAATAATACTATCGTTACTACTGCTAACCTTTCCTGTTAATTACATGTCTTTTTAACAGATTAACATAACCGTCTAAAACGCTACATACCACAGAAGAATGTTGTGAGTGACGAGCACATGAGTTAGTGAGTTACCAGCAACAGGAGACAGGGGTATGTTACCTGCAACAGTAGGCAGGAGTGAGTTACTAGCAATAGGAGGGATGAGTGATTTGCCGATAACAAGAGTGAGTTACCAGCAACAAGAGGCAGAAGTGAGTTACCAGCAACAGGACGCAGAAGTGAGTTACCAGCAACAGGACGCAGAAGTGAGTTACCAGCAACAGGACGCAGAAGTGAGTTACCAGCAACAGGACGCAGAAGTGAGTTACCAGCAACAGGACGCAGAAGTGAGTTACCAGCAACAGGACGCAGAAGTGAGTTACCAGCATCAGGACGCAGAAGTGAGTTACCAGCATCAGGACGCAGAAGTGAGTTACCAGTAACATGAGACAGGAATGAGTTACCAGTAACATGAGACAGGAATTAGTTACCAGAAACAATGGGGGCAGGAGTGAGTTATCAGCATCAGGAGCGAGATCCCAACGACAGGAGTGAGTTCCCAGCAACAGGAGGTAGGAGTGAGTTACCAGCAATAGGAGACAGGAGTGAGTTACCAGCAACAGGAGGCAATATCGAGTTACCAGCAACAGGAGGCAAGAGTGAGTTATCAGCAACAGGAGGAGGGAGAAAGTTACCAGCAACAGGAGGCAGGATGAGTTACCTGCAGCAGGGGGCAGGAGTGAGTAACCAGTAACACGAGGCAGTAGTGAGTTTCCAACAACAGAAGGAAGGAATCAGTTAACAGCAACAAGAGGCAGGAGTGAGTTACAAGCAACAGGAGTGAGTTACCAGCAAAAGGAGCCCGAAGTGAGTTACCAGTAACAGGAGTGAGTTACTGGGAACGGGAGGCAGGTGTGCGTTACTTCAAACAGGATGCAAGAGTGAGTTACCAGCCACAGAAAGCAGGAGTGAGTTACCAGCAACAGGAGGCAGGCGTAAGATACCAGAAAAAACGAGTTACGAGTAACAGTTACCAGTTACAGGAGTGAGTTACCAGCGGCGGGAGGCCGTAGTGAGATACCAGCATTGGAAGTGAGTTACCATTATTAGGAGGCAGGAGTGAGTTAACAGTAACAGAAAAGAGTTACCAACAACAGGAGGCAAGAGTGAGTTACTATCAACAGTAGGCAGGAGTGAGTTACCAGTAACAGGAGTGAGTTACCAGCAACAGGAGTGAGTTACTAGCAACAAGAGTGAGTTACCAGCTACATGATAAAGGAGCTAACAGTAACAGTAAACTGTTACCAGCAACAGTAGGCAGGAGTGAGTTACCAGTAACAGGAGTGAGTTACCAGCAACAGGAGTGAGTTACTAGCAACAAGAGTGAGTTACCAGCTACATGATAAAGGAGCTAACAGTAACAGTAAACTGTTACCAGCAACAGGAGGCAGGAGTGAGTTACCAGCAACAGGGGGCAGGCCACGCAGCTGAGGCGGGTTTTCACACTGTCGAGAGTAGATGCGGGTCACTTTCTCCAGCTCTTGATGGAACCGCGCAAGAATTCTCTTGTACTTGCCCTCCACGTCTAGTTGTGGCACTACCTCGGCAATCTTTTCAAACCTGTAAATGCATTAATGTCATGTGCTTGCCGGGCATGTTACTGCTCTCCACCTTTGAGCTCCTCTACACCAGCACAATTGAAATAAATTATGAGAGAGAAATGCAAGTGTAGGTTCTTGAGATGTCCCTGTTGTCTATGAGCTCTACATGTTGTCACTGATCTACATGACACACACACACACACACATATATATATATATATATATATATATATATATATATATATATATATATATATATATATATATATATATATATATATATTTATATATATATATATATATATATATATATATATATATATATATATATATATATATATATATATATATATATATATATATATATATATATATATATATATATATATATATATATATATATATATATATATTGTTTCCTTCGGGAATCTTAATTTCAAAATGAATAAGAAAACCATTGATATAACAAACATCTTGTTTCAGATTCTAGACTTTAAAAAGCATGACGTTTCGAATACTTCTCGTATTCATCATCAGATCTAAAATAAAAATAAAAGTCACAATAAAATAAGTAGCAAACAAAGAACTCATTCTGAAGAAATTACCTATCAGAAGAAAAAGAGATATCAAACGACACTGGTTTTAAAACAAAACACGTAAACTTGCCTAGAATGATCAAACCAAATAAAACTTTATAATTATCAATGGATATTAAAATCTAATTATAAAACTATAAGGAATAACTTCTAAAACAAGCCACACTGTTAAACTTACGTGAAGTGATCAATCAAAGTGAAAGTTGATAATTATCATGTGGATAATCAACACTAATACAACAATTATAATAATTACTACGCACTTACAAGAAATGTATATAAAACAATTGTAAAATACTAGACGAAACCTTATAAAAACTTAAATATCAAACAAAACTAAACACCAAAATGTATTGTAAGTCTAAATTTTACAACTATAACAATATAAAAAATCAACACTTGAAATAAGTAAAAAAAACAAAAAACAAATCATGGTAGACTAAAGCAAAATTAAATATATATATATATATATATATATATATACACACACACTTGCATAAACTCACAAGAATATTCCATTTTAACAAATGGAACACTTCCCCTATGAGAGAATCGAAACCTGGGCCAGCTAATTGATGGCTGTCCAATGCAATAACCAATAGGCCACACTCAGATAATTAAATCTACCACCCTCAGATCAGCTGCCCCAGGTTTCGATTCTCTCATAGGGGAAGTGTTGTGGGGGCAGGTACCATCTCTGGTTGTGTTTGTAGGAAGCCTCGGCCTCAAAGAAAAGAATATGTAGCATCAGGGAGGTCATGGGTCAGTAAGCCTACTACAATTTCGTATGTTCTTACGTTCCTAACTGAAATACCAACATACCTGGCCAGCATTTTGTAGGCCATGGGAGTCTCCCAGATCTCCTCGTGTTCTTTCTCTACCATGATGTGGATGCGTCTCAGCAGCTCCCGGACACTGGCAGCGAACACCTCCAGGTCCGACTCGAAGTGACGGTCACGGTAATCGAGGTAGTCGTAGGACTTCTGAGATATCTCGCTGCACATCTCCTGCCACGACTTGAGGATATCGCGAAGGCCTGTTGGTAGGGAGGCGTCAAAAAGGTGTTGGGTGAGCGGCTGGAGCGAGTCTCGGGGTCCAGGACAAGCCTCCAGTTGAGGAAGTCGTCACCAAGAAATGGCTGCCAGCCGTTCTGCTCGTCAAGTCCTCCATTATCTAAACTATTGAGCCACTAGGGCTTGATATGCAACTGTGGTTTTTACTACTTTTATTTTAACATTAAAGCATTTAATTTTAATTCTTATTATATCAGTATGAGAAGACTTATTTAGTTCACATGCAATTATAATTATTACTAGATTTTATGGTTTATAGCCAGAGTTTCCAAAAGCCAAGAAGCAGTCATGTTTAGTAGAGGTGATAGAAGCATAGTTGTAGATGACGCAGGCGGTGCTACTCTACCCAGAGCTAACTTATGTAGCAGAGGTGCCGGACGGTCACCACCAGCACCACACAACACCCCAACCTCTCAGTTCCCTTAACATCCACCACCACCATCTTCACAATGACAAATAAAACACTGAGGGTTGAGGTATGGTACTGCATTGTGATGCCGGCCAGACCTCATAAGCTTCCTAAAACTGTGCAAGATTTGAGATGCACTCACATTGTAATATTTATGAGTTAATTTGTCTCGTATTTTCTTATTAGGTTCTATCCTATATTGCTGAAAACTCAGTAGCCAATGTGTACATCTGAGGCCGAGCTGACATACCAGGCTTTCCTTAACTTCTTCCGGCGAAAACGGTCCATCAGTAACAGATAAATTATAAAAATAATCCAAAATTGACTGGTCCATCGTTTGTGTCGCATATTAAAAATATGATTGAAACATGAACAAATGTCTAGAGATTGACTGTTTGCATATCTTTTTAAATTCAAACAGTTCTTTTTATCTTATCATATATTTTTTTATTTTACTAAACTATAAGAAATTCGGCAATGTTGTTATGTAAATAATAATAACAACACGTTGAATGTAGTGCCTCTTCAAGCGAAATACATCAAAAGACGAAGAATTCCACTTCCATGTTTCTTATAATTGAACACATTAAACATCCTCACTCTTCAATAACAACAGTAATAGCTCACCACTCATATATTCACATCACAAAAAAGTCACTGATATATTCAATGATTGGTCAAGTCAACAGACTATACTGAAAGTGCAGTGACCAGCAGTTTATCTTTTACACTGCTTGTTACGTCAATTTTTTTATTTTTATAAAAGAAATACATAATATACAAAACAGACAATAGAAAACAACAAATTATACATACAAACAGGACAAATATAACAAAGTACGGAAACACGGATGCAAACTAAACATACACAACAAAAACCAAGAAAGAAAACACATGATACAAGGCACAAAATGAGAAAATCCTGAAACGGGCACAGGAGGTTACACACCCACACACACACACAAAAACAAAAAAAAAAACAGAACGTTACAAATAAATAACACAAGACATAAATAACATAAAACATAGTCACATCCACAAAAAAAACATAAGTACAGAAATACAAAAACAAAAAACACACAAAACAAGTCCATCCCAACAACCTAAACACAGGTGCAGATTAGTACATAACAACAACAGGCCTCCTAAACCACCGACACACAGGCAAAAGTACAAAGCTACAGGAAACAACAAAAAATAAATACAGAAAAACAGTGAAATACATAAACAGGGAAATACAAACAGAGATAACATAAACACAGAAATGCCGCACACATAATAAAGCAATGTCACAAGGACAAGAAAATAAACACACGCATACAAGAGACATACACAACCACACCGCCCGCCACCCCAACACAATACACAGGGCGAGCACAACGACACGAAAGAAATAACACCAAACTCTCACAACCGCACACAACCACAACACAAACACACACACCAAAGGCAAAGCACAAAACATACAACAAAACAGGCCATGCAGGGGCAAGAACAACACCCACACTCACAGACAAGGACACCCACCTGTGCACGCAGGCACCGGGGAAACATCACGCACAACACAGCCAGAAACCAAACACACCAATAAACCAATCACTCATACTTCTCCGGGGACTCCAGAGCTGGAAACCGTAAGCAATAAACTTCCCAAACAAGTTGGTCACTTTCAGGAATCGGACACCCAGGAGTCGCAGTAGGCCGAGGCATCGAATTCGGCACTCCCGAGACAACACACAGCGCTCGTGGAACCCAGATGGTAGAAGGGCATCAGGGAACAGGACGCACCAGGTCATCACACTCAAAAGTCGCAGTTGCCGTAGATCTGTCGATCATCTCGCCAGTCGGGAGGACGAAAGGGACGGGTTTTCCCTAGGAAGCTGGTCACAGGGCCGCACACTTGGAAGCACACCTGACTGCACGGCAGGCCGCACACCGGCCCGCCCACTAAGGCGTGCACTCCGTTCGGTGCCGGGAACCGCGGAGGGTGGCTCCGCAGTGGCTCCAGTGCCCCCGCCAACAGGAGCAGAGGCCCCCCGCCGCACATCCTTCGACAACACCACCACAAGCTCGCGATCACCAGGGGCAACTGCCCACTGAGGGGAGCCACCAGCAGGAGGCACAGCGTCCAATCCAGAAGGCACCACAGGAGGCAACACAGCGTCGGCCACAGCATCATCATTCATCGCATCACGCTCCTCTGCCCACGACCGGCGAGGTGACGCACCCCGAGCCGAGCAACGGCGCTTAAAAAGAGGCCGCTGATCGTCGGAACTGTCGCCCCCAGAAAGCGGTGTCCCAGAAGAACCATCGGCAGGCGGCCCCAAAGCCGGGGCAGCACGATCACGCAGAACAGCAGCCTCAACAATGCGGGGCACAAAGCCACCACCAGGAAAGGAGACCGGAGTCGGAGAAGGAAGAGATAGAGCAGGAGGAAGGGTAGACTCCAGCACACGTGAGGTATCGTGAGGGCGATGGAAGCTGCAGAAGAGAAGAGGTACTCGTCAACGAGGAAACTGCCAGAGGCGAAGAGGTAGAGGACGTGGGTGGAGACACACATACCACCGTCCCGCCAGCCCCGGGAAGCACATGGCCTCCAGCAGGAGATGCAGGCGCCACCCCTACAACATCCCCCAAGGTCAATGGATGCGGATGCGCCTCCGCAGTTATTGAACGACTAAGGTGCGACATATCAGGTCCAGACGTAGCGACATCCGGAACCGCCGCGGGAATCACACCAGGCACCTGCACAGAGCAAGGATCCGCCGGGGAGTCCACACGCACAGATAAGCGAGGAAAATCATCCTCTAGGAAAACAGTAGGGGCTTCAGCATGAGGAGCGTCGCAACCGGCCACTATGTGGCCCTCAGCACTACACCAGAAACACGTCGGGTTTGACCCTGATAGAAGGTCCTCAGAGACAGCCCACGATACGAGACCCTGGACGGTATAGGGCTCGTGAGTCACATGACAAGCGTGCGTGAACCCAGCTGGACCCCCTTCAGCCGGCCCGCACTCAAAATGTTGAACCGGTGCTTCACCACCGACCCAAACCACGTAAACAAGGACATGAGGGCCGTCTCGAGGAAGGTCACCGGCACGCCGTGAACACTCACAAGCAACAAGGGCCCCCAGGAATCCGAGATCTCCACAGACACAGCCGAAGCCGGAAGAGGAAGCGTGCGGCCATTCCAGCGAGCCACAAACTCCCGGTAAACATGTGACGTGGCGAATGACACCGCAACACGGGTGGGCGACAACTTCTCGAGGCCCAGGAGCTCGGGGACGTCAACACGGATGACGTCCAGGAATGCGGCTAGTACCAGTCGCGTCCATACCGGCAGGCGGGGCCCCGACCAGCGGGCGCTCCACACACCCCCACAGCAACCGCCACTCAGCAACCGCAGACGACTACTGACAGCCGGAGCCCGATGTCTGCACCCTCTGGTGGCACAGCCAGGAATCTTGTTACGTCAACTGATGCATCAAGTAATACAAGATTACACAGTGACTGGCAATGATTGACCTTTATCTCTATAATTATTAAGAACTGACATGTCTCTCGGTACTGTTAACCTGTGAGGTGGGGATGTTGGGTGAGCTCGTAGCTCATCCAGAAAATCGTGAAGTTGCTGTTTAGTCAGAGTTTATTTATTTTTGTACTGAGGCGGGTATTTTCTCCCCTGATTCCATGCATGACTAACCATCCTTGTGAGATGGGAATATTAGATGAACTTATACCTAGTGTTTGATCTACACTGTAATCTTTCATTTAGAATAGGGTAGCAGAATATTGCTCTATATACCTAAGCTTGTCAATAAAAAACTATTAATTAATTGGATGATAATTTTTCTTATTTATTACTTCTAATTAATTAAAATTAATTGTAGCATCATTGTACCCAAGAATATTTACGTAAATTATTAACTTTCAGACCATTTTTGCAACAATGTGCAACATATCATTGTCACCAGGTACTTGAGACATGTCTAGTGACGGTGGTGGTGTCAGTGGTACAGTCGCCACCACTGGCGACGGTGGTGGTGATGGTGACCGTGGTGGTGTCAGTGGTACAGTCGCCACCACTGGCGACGGCGGTGGTAATGGTGACCGTGGTGGTGTCATTGGTGGCGACGGTGATAGTTACGGTGGTGATGACGGTGGTACGGTCATCACCACTGGCTGACGGTGGTGGTGGTGACGGTGATGGTGACGGAGGTGGTGAGGACGGTTGAGGTGGTGACGTGGTAGTGACGGTGGTGGTGACCATGGTGGTGACGGTGGTGGTGACCATGGTGGTGACGGTGGTGGTGACCATGGTGGTGACGGTGGTGGTGACCATGGTGGTGACCATGGTGGTGACGATATATTCCATATTAAACACAGTGCTCCTGGCACACGCGCCCTCACATTATTATTACCTTCACACACACACACACACATATATACATATATATATATATATATATATATATATATATATATATATATATATATATATATATATATATATATATATATATATATATATATATATATATATATATATATAT